GCTCTGATTTCATTCCCAGAAATCCTGCTCCTCGCTCCCCCATCCAGTAGCTGAGAGAAATCAGGCCGAGGGGCGATAAAGAGTGTAACAGGTCTGGAAACTGTATAAATTCACTGGAAGCCTTTGTTGTTAAGCACAGCAGAGATATGGAGAAGCTCCCTCAGAGACGTGTCAGTTAAGGTCAAGATGGTACCAGCACAGCTTGACTCGCGTAACTGATACTGCTCCGAAAACATTCAGGTTAAAACCTCTGAGCCACTAATAAAAACATGTCTGCTGCACGTTTCTCTGATCATCTTCCAGATTTCTTAAACCCTCCTACAAGGATTATAGGATCGGTCAAAAGTGTATCCCAACGTGTAGCCGCGAGTCAGAAAAAGCCAACATGATGTTCCAAGAGCTACAAAAAAAGCTTTATAATATCAAAAAGAACAAAGTGCACTTATTGGATGAATAGATTCATAATCAGATTTACAGGCAAATGCACGACAGGTGTTTGTGGATGTTTATAACAAAACAAGCTGTCAAACTAAATCAAATGTGGTTTGTGTTCCATAGTTTTGAAAAATTCACGCGAGGCGTTTTGTTGAAGGGTCGAGATGTATGCAGTGCTGCTGTAAGTGAAAGCAGGCACGAGGCAGGCATATTGCACACATGGCCAAAAGCTGCTCTCAGTTACATACTGTGTAGAGTTATTGGCAACAACAAGGCCTCAGCAGGCCAGTCCACAGTCTCAAACATTTGACTCTACAGTTACAAATCTAGACTAAAACTCACCCCTCTGTGTGTCTGTTCTACCTTTCTCCCCTTTACTTAACTTCCTTTTGAGTAACTTAGGTGAACACGCTAAGCAACGTGGAGAAAATTAACCCGTTCTGTACTCAAAAAGCTGCACTGAGACCTTTTCTATAAGTCAAACATGCTGGGAATATGTCTGGTCTTGCCCTTTCAGTGACTCAGCATCTATCTCTCTGTCACCACCTCTTTTCCCCCCTCACTTTATTGTCGTATCTTCATAAACCTGGGCCATAACCAAGCGCATGACGTTCAGAGCACGGTCATTGCACAACTCTCATCTGAACATAACCACATTCCTACAATGTTTGCATTTTTACAGCATGGCTGCCTAATACGCTTATATGTAAAGATATATGTAAGAAAAGTAAAGACTGAAAAATAGCTGCAGTAGAGCTCATTTAGAAATATAAATTGTATACTTTTCGGAGGTTTTATTTACCAAATAGCAATGCAATGTGCTTATTGAAGATTTTTTAAATCATCTGCAAAGTAAAAACTATACATTTATGCATTTTGATTAAAAACGTTCTTACTTTCCTCTGATTCTTGTAATGATTGTTCCTTAACCCTACAGTTCTCAAATACAGCATGAATTCATCCAATATAATACAATGTGCTAACTGTGTTTCCTTCCAGAAGCTGCCATGATTAGTGATAGATCTACCTGGTTAATATTATATTTTAATAAAGATGTGCACCAACACATGTTTCTCTTTTGTTCTGCCGTTTGTGGGCATGAAAAACAATCATCCAAATGTTATTCTGGCGTCGAACCACTGTTGCTCAAAAAACAGTGCTGGTTTATCTGTTGGCAGTCAAGACTATTATTATAACAAATAATCTGTCAGCAACCAAAGAATTTCTAGCGGATTGATTAAGGCCTTATCAAACAATGAGCATGATAATGGCTGCAGTGATAAGGTCTGACCCTGTGGTACCCTGGTACACTAATCCAGCCCCATGGCACATATTCAGGTTTCCATGGGGAGCTCTTTCCACCTCGCCGTGCACAATCATTGTTTTTCCACTGCAAACTTACGTCTATATCTCACGTCTTTTTATTTATTTACTTATCTAATCTGCATGCTTAAAAAGTGAAAAACGAAATGTTGCACATATGGTATCTTGAAAAAGTGGAAATTGTTTTATGATTATTTAGGAGATATAAAGACCTACAAGACTGCATAGCAACAGTAACAGTTGCATAAAATGATCGTGTGCATAGTCAGCTTTAGTGTCAGATCTGTAACCGTGCACTTCTAATCTTTCAACAAACTGGATGGGTCAACAAACCCTAATACACAAACCAATGAAGGGATAACACTCAACTAATCTATCATTAGCTTTATGTGCTAAAAGGCTTTCAGGTCTTTTTACTGGAGGTGTTCACACAAACATGTTGCCACCCAGTGACGTCCCTGGAAAAGCAGTCCACAAACATATGGATAAGTACTGACCAAACTCAACAGTCAGGCGTGCTCGTGTTGCCATGGATATTCTTTGAGGAAAAATATTTATTGCATTTAAATTCAGCTATGAAGAATGAGTTGCAAACTGTGGATGTGTGCAGGACTTTTGATGTTAAGTGGTGGAAGAAGCATTTATTTTGTTGGGAAAAATGGCACTATACTGTACTGCATAAAAAAAAAAAGATTATCATGCACAATCGACCTATTTCACTTTTTTATACTACTGAATTACAATTATAGATGCATTCATGTGTTTAACCTCTTTAATGTGACAGATGTTTTTGTCATTTTACCACACAGTATATACTGCCGGGTATAGCTTTAGTATTTAACCATAGGATCATTAAAGTAATACAGTAAAATACACGATAAATAATTTGTTGATTATATTTTGTATTTCAAAACTGATTATAAAACTTCAAAGTACCCGGTCTTCAAAAAGTTAAAAGCACAGTATGTATTAGTTGTATAGTGAAAGTAGAGTCCTAAATTGCAGAAAAAAAATACTCAAGTAAACAATTAACTCCAAATTGTAGGTGCAGTAATTAAGTAAATGTACTAATCTACTGTCCACCTCTGGTTGTGTCAAATTCAACATCCAGGACTGAGAAATCCTCACCTCCACATGCACGCTGCCCACAGGATTCACTTGTTTCTTGTTTCACTGGCAGTGGCAACAAACTCTGGCAGCTGGCTCTCCTGCTCAGTACAGGCGGGGCTAATTATATCCAGCTTCACTGCCCAGCACACAGCACACTTTTAGCCCTCCAAAATCACAGCAGCAAGTGATGTTGACAGCAGGCCTGACTGTGAGTCACCTGCTGTGCTCACAGAGGTGCTTCACTTCTGCTCTGGGCACACCAGCGAGCGATGAGGAGAAGACTTGTGAGAGTGTGACACACGGCTGTACGCAGGCCCAAACATGGCTCGCTTAAGAGGAACGAGCACAATGAGTCACAGAGAGGATGACGGCCGGGGGTAAATTGGTAGTAGATATTTCTTAGAAGAGCTGGAATCTATTAGTTTTAAGTGAAAGAAGTAGCTTTCCTGGATGTTCAGTTACTGTGTGTTTGAAAAAAGAAGTGTCACATTGGACAATGGAGCCTGGGCTGAATCTATATAATGACCACGTATCTACTGAGGAGACAAAGCTTAGCCGTCATACATGCAATCCATTATAAATAAGAATCTGTGTCATCAATCTCCTTTTGTAAATTAAAATAAAGTCATATTTTTGAATAAAATACACCCTCTTATTTTCAAAACCCAGCAGTAAAGCTGGCCACTCACTGGGTGGCCTCTCTGTCCCTGTGCCACACCAGTTGGAGTTAAAGAGCAGGTTACACTCAAGCAAGACTAAGTAAAATCCTCATGTAAACACTGCTGACAGATAAACCCGTTGCACACTGATGACTTACTGTGCTGCTGTAATTTTAACTCATCTTCAGATTGCTCTTCTGCAAACCATTTTAGTGGTTGCGGTCAAAATGCAACACAGCTGCCGAAAGGCTAATGCTTTGGCTTTTTCTTCCTGCGAGACACCGAGCCTGAAGTCTGACCATCTGTTTTATGTCAACTTAAGATACACAGGTTGATATACTCTCATGCCTTAGCAGGGAGTCTTTTGAAGTCAAATGATGTAATAGATTCATAAATATCTTGAGAAATCCATTAAGGATATTATATTTCACTACAAATGTTGTTCTGTTTTGCAAGGTCTGTGCCTTGCAACCATGACATCCTGTGTCTGAATCCAGACACAGCTTAAGCACGAGTGTATGCCTTACTCATCTTTTTCTTCCTGAATGTATTTACAACTTTTGTCTTTTGAATAGCCCTAAAAAGGTCCAATTCACATTCTTTATTTATATATTTTTTTAAAGTATTTTAAAGAAGAACTGAAATTGCATTCAAACCAATTACATTTTTGTGTAATTGCCAATTATAATCAAACTTTTGGAAATGTGAATAACTTCAAACAGGAGACACCAGCTGCCACATGCAGACCTCTTAGAAAAGCCTTTCGGCCACATTCACGATTTTATGAGACCAGAAGAGCTGAGTGCAGTCAGACGGAGACCTCAGCTGCCAAGGTCCATCCGTTGTGATCACTGGCTTTTAGGCTATTTTCTCCAGTTTTCAATTTGAATAATTACAGAGAGAACGGCGTCCTAAAAAGTATAACCCTGGGCAGAGAATGAAGTCCACCGCACTGTGATGATGACATTCACATTTTATGTGGCTATTTCCAGTCATATCCCATCTTATACAGTGGGAGAGCATCTCTGGGGAGATACTATATCTGTAAAGCGTCTTTGAGCACCCGTAAAAGCGCTAACAAAATAAGTCTATTATTGTTATTATATGTTTGAACACACTCTTTGTATTATTGCCTCCTTGGTTCTGTGAACTTGAACTTGCAGTTTTGTTAACTTGTTGCACCACATTTTGTATCCACAAAAATATATATCCCTATCCTCTCCTCCAGGTCTGTGCCCAAAGCATCCGCACTGCAGATGCTTTTCATTGCTGGATCTTTGTCCAGATGAACACATGGTCAACATGTATGTCTTTAAGGTTTCCAGCTGTCAGAATGAAAAAGCCAAATATCAGTGATTGTTCTATATATTCATTGAAGTGTAGTTCAAACAAGGTGAACACAAGGTTTTGCTATTACTAAGCTGTTGCATGCAAAGCTCTTTTAGTGTAGATTTTACAGCAAAACGCAGAATCAACAAATGTGATGTTTTTTATTGACAAAATGTTACATCCTACAAAATACAAACAAGTGGTCCATACAAGCACTGCTTGTAAATGTCTACACAACCTATGGGTCTTGGTGCAGAAATGAACGACCCACTGACTATGGCGATGCGTTTCCAAACTATCTACAGCTTCAACACTCCACTACAAAAAATAAATGAAACATCAGAAGGCCTTGGTTGCCATGTCACTAAAGTGTCCTCTGACTGGGCTGCAATCACATGCTGCCCTCTAGTGGCACAAACTAACTCCTGCGGTTTAACGTCAAACTCCACCATCTCAGACAGAGCGTCATACTGTAAAAAAGCAACACAGACATGTAAAGAGACCTCATCAACATTCCTGTGACAATAATTAGCTTGTATACGCTCCATACGTTGAGCCTGTGCTGTAACCACCAAACAGCATGACAGGCAACATAAGTCTGTGGCCTGAGGCAAAGAAAAAACAGATGCACACTCGCACTGAATGAATCCCATTGAATCGCTTTAACAGGAAACAGTGTGTGGAGACAAATACTGCAAACCAAGCCCTAGGGGTGTAGCAGCAAAATTGATTTGGATTTAAATGAAATACTGGTTTTAACATCCAAAAAATCTGATCAAACAAAGTGGCAATTAAAAACCGTAATTTTTCAAGGAATTTCCAGTCATAAATGAAAAACGTCTGAACAAATTCACTGTTTAAAAATCCCTCTTTCAATGATAGTCTCCTAAAGGGATTCACTCCAACAAAACAAAAAATATACCAACCACTAGCCTCTGATATACAACATATGCAGAACTGATGACCAAATACAGCAAAGACCCTGATGTGGAAATAATAAAACAAAGAACAAACTGCCCTTCTTCAAACTCTGAGTCCTCATTAATCTTAACACAGTCAACATAGATCACCCTGGAACGATTTAGCTCTACATGACAGGAAATGATGTGACGTGAAATAAGGCCAACTTTATAACTGATTATCTGGAAATGGCTCAATTCTCTGTGAAAGCCAGTTTAGAAAATCAAAGCTTCTGTTTCTGTACATCCTCACTCAAACTGTAAGTACTCACTGTACTCATTGTGTCTGTATTCTCAGATGTAAAGACCTGTTTGCATAATATATTAGCAGGAACTCAAACACTGCAGTGCTGATGTATTGATTGAGGTTATATGTGGAAGTTGTGGAAAGGTGTTGCAAAAATATTTCTACATTGTGCTTCCAACTAAGATTTAACTTCGTCCTCAAGGACACGTGTAGTGTAGTAGGACATAGATAAACCTCACAGAACATAAAGTGAGTAAATGAACAGTTCACCCAAACATTTTTAAATAAATGTACATTTACCTATACACGTACCTGTAGTGCTTTGGATCAATCTCCAGTGTTTCGGTGTGAGTTGCATCTCAAGCATTCACAGTCTTTAGCCTCATGAGTTGTAGTCATTATGTTGATGCTTTCCAGAAATAGATATTGCTGTTGTGTTTTTCTGTAATTTTTTGGAGCTTTCAGCTACTTAAGCCGAGTGCCATGCATTTTATTTTTATTTTAGAAAAGGCCGATTTGTCTATATCTCCAACTCTGTGCAGCTCACACCAAAACGATCTAGATTGATAAATAGCACTACAGTTAAGAGAATAAATATGCATTTTAAATTTAGGGGTGAGCTATCCCTTTAATCAACTCATCAGAATGTCATCTTCACTTAACGGCGACTCTTAGAATGGCAACCACTATAAAAAGTTTCTTTGTAGCCTTACACTCTGATCCCTTTTCATCTCTTTTGGTTTCTGGGAGTACTCAGGGCAGAGGGATAAAGCCATTGTCAGGGGCATCTCCCAGAATAAAGGTGGTGCGGCTCAGCGATGGAGAGGGTGAGGCCAGGCGGAAGGCTGGGTTGATGGAGTGCAGCGAGTCTCTCCTCTTGTTGCTTCTGCTGAACGGGGGGCAAGGGGGGGCCACAGGCTGGCGAGCGTCCTGCGGCAAGCACCCAGCGGAGAGAGAAGGCTCAGAGGAAGCTGCTGCCGGGCCGGAAACCTCCAGGTCCAGAGGGGTGGTCTTTGGGGTTGCTGGGGGGCACAGCCCATGAACATCGTACGAGTGGACCATCCTCTCCAGCATGTCCTTGGTGCTCTGAGTACACTGTGTGGAGAGGGAAGAAATAAAGGAATAAGACACATCATCCGTTGGTGTTATAAAAGGCAGAGCTGTGTCAGCAGTAACAACATATATAGAACATTCTGCAACATGATTAAAAGGATTGGATTATCAAGCACAGTGAAAGCGGTGATAGCACTGATGGCAGTGGGAGACTCAAATGGAGAGACATGGAAGAAGTGAGTTAGATGCAGACAATGAAACGGTTAAGAGGGAAATGTGTGGAGAAGCTGCTTCCTCTTGTTTTTCTTCTGGCTCTGATAAAAGTAGAAACAGAGATACAGTTTATGCAGACTTGTATTTCTGGCGCCTCCATGCATGCACAATAAAGCCCTTGATACATAAGAAAAACCTCTTATCTAACTACAGAGGACAAGCGTAAGATCAGCAGCTTCAAACATGAGGGATTTAGAGCGATTGTTAATGAGACGGGAGTGAATGATAGTGAAGCATGCACACTCACAGGTGAGGCAGTGAACCCATCTCAAGCATAGACAAATACAAAAATAAGCAAAGATGCAATAACTTAGAAAATAAAAGATGACAGCAGTTACAAACCCAAACGGTGAATGATAAGTGAAGACATGTTGTGATGCTTTATTGTTGAACCCTACTCTTACCATGGACCGTCTACATGCAGCAGTGCCCTTCAGGCTGTGCAGGACAAAGCAAAATCCTGACAGTTCTCCTCCTAGCAGGGTGGATACAGTACAACACTGAGTGTCAGATCTAGCAATGACGTAACAGGCATAGGAAACAAATGTTTATAACAAATAAACCCGTATGTTCATTAATTATGCCTACTGAAATAAATATAATTACCTTAGAAAATACAACTGTTCCAAAACATCTTAAAATCCCAAGTCAGGCACATCAAGACTTGAAAAAATGAAGAGGCAAAGTAAATTCAAAACAGAGGCCAGATCTCAAAATACAAAAGTTATGTTTATTTAACACTTTTAAAGAACACACTTTAGGTGAATAAAATAGGTACGTAAAAAAGAAAGCAAAAGTGTAGTTAAGAAAATAAAGCAATATAGCTTTTGATAATACGTCTTAGACATGATATGCTGACCATATTGAATGACAAATGTATTGGACACATGTGGCAAATGACCTGTGATAAAGTGCTGTTGAGTCAAATACATAATATGATATTAAACATTTGCATGTTCTAGGAAAAAAGCAGTTATTAAGACCTTTGTGTGCATACACATCCACAAAAAACACACAAGCAAACCCTGCAGTACAGTAACAAGGAGGTAGATACAGAAACATGTTGGATAGAAAGAGTGAGCAAACATAAACACAAGTCAAATCTCAAAAGGTGCAACAACGAACGTGTTCAATGTCCCACAGCACAAATAATATATCTGCAGCAGGAGGACTCAGCAACTCACCATCACATGAACAAATGGTTCATTTCTGACTGTAACAACTCTTACAACTCTGTGTCCACTTTCTCGCATTTGTACCTGCTCAATGGTGCCAAACATTGTTACAGGAGGCTCCCAAGACATTTGGTTTTTAAAGTTTAAACAAGAGGCACAGCAGTATTGTTTTAGCATGATGACACCCTTCAGTAGATGTTATAAAGCCTTTCTACTGTGGATATCTGGCGTTCTAAGCCATCGAAAACTCAGATGTCCAGTCTAGTTAGAGACTACCTGACACGACATTCACAACGTTTTTACAAACAATATAGAATCCACGTCTTTCATAAACACTGGGCACATATTCAACTCTACTTTAGGGACTAAAACTGAAGTCTGGAGGATGGAGGAGTGGACACACAGAGGGGAGAAGGCACGGGGTGGGAGGGGCAGCCTAACAACAACAATAACAACAACGCAGAAGCTAAGGGACAGTCGGGACTCAGGAGGGGCCACATGCTGCTTCATCCTACCATGTGTGCGTCGCTCTTGACCGTGAAGGGAGGCAGCTCTATCTCCGAGGCCGACACAGCAGGGATCGCCTCGTCGAGAGACAGGAAGCCTCTTCTGTCAATCAGACTACAGATCACAGGGTTATGAGAGGGTGCACTTACAACCATACAAATAAATAACACAAGCAGACTGACACAAATGTCCCACACTATGATTAATAACATACAGTTAATATGCAATACAAAAGAACTGTGGAACCTTGACTGAGAGAGAAACCAATATGTTTCACAAAGGGTGAACATATACCCCTCTGTTTTTAGACTTTTTGGGAGAGATTTAAATGTATATCCATGCATAAATTGAGTTGTGCTGATTTTGAACTGATGGTTTGATTCCAGACTTTTTTCTGAACCTTAATAAACTTGAAATAGTACATAAAAACAGGTACGTATTCATTTTAAATGACACATTTGACTAATTTCCACTCTAACGTTGATTGTAAATGTCATGCCATCTTTAATGAAATGTTCATGAAGCATTCCACTGATACTAAATATGTGTGAAAAGTCTTATGGGACGGGGACATATTCACTCACCTGGGGGGCATGGGGCCACATAAGGTCGCACAGCAGTTTGTTATAATACTGTTGTAACTGTACGGGTTCCCAGACTCCTCTGCACACCTTTTACTTGACCAGGAGCCTTTAATCTGCAGAGTGAGTACGGTAAATCAAGTAAGCTGTCAGTTAATGGATAAAGTCTCAAATATCATGGTTGTATCATTATGGTGCATGAATACTTACGTCTTCATTTGTTGTGAGGTTTGAGGCGATTAGGTATGTATGGAAGCCTGAGAGGCCCAATATAGACCAGATGGAGAAGAAACAAATCACCAACTCCACCACAGTGCACAAGGATCAGTCAAGGAACGATAATATCAACATTAACAATAATTATTTAAGGCAGATGGCGATAAAAGAAGCGCATAAAGGCAAGTAATTGTACTGCAAATTAAACAAAACCTTCACAGATAATGGCAGACCATTTTTCAATATTAAAATACTAGATGTAAAAGAAATGGAATTACATAAGAAAAGAAAAGTTCCTCTAAATTATACCGGCGCAACAGTGTTAGTTATTACAAAGAAACTACCAACTTGTGACCAATGTGTAAACAATGGGGTCTCCCTGCTAACATTTAGTTGCTTCTGAGAATCATTCATCCTAAGTTTAGACAGTATCTTGTTGGCTTACATTTGTTTTGAGATATATTTATCCTTAATCATGGACACGTTGTTCCAAATTACATGTGATATTTATACTGTCTAAAAGACGCATTACAGCGTTAAAGTCTCAAACGCTACAGAAATAAATCAGAGCTTTGGCTCTATGAGATAACAAGTAAGGACAATGTAAGTATTTGTTCTGAATGCATGAAAATGACATGAAAATGACTTGCATTTTATGCGCTCAATGTAGAAATGAACCCACACCCTGACTGTGAATAACAAATCTCAGTAGTTCTCTGTAGTTCTGCCGGCTATATTTGCCTCTAACTTCATCTCACGAGAACATGAGGCAGCAAACCCTCTTCTGCAAAGCCATCTGCCTAAAAGCATTGCTCTGCTGGATGCTAACTCTCTGATCCTATTAGGCGTGGGCTTAGACTGAGACGCAGCAGGAAATGCCTTGTCAACAGCGTGACTTGTGTTATTTCTCGACATAAACAAGAAGCAAATATATAAAAGATCTCATCTATTTCATTAACAGATTATGTGAGAGCTGGTATCTACAAAAGGATATCTGGCAGGGCTCTCTTGGATGGACTGGACGAGGCTTTTACCTTCTTGAGAACCTGGAGAGAAAAAGGACAAATAGGAAATAAAGTTATCTTAAAGTGATTTTTGATAACATGACAGAAACATCATACCGAGTGCTTTATGCTTTAATACTTTGTGAGGATACTTACGCAGGGTAATGTGCGTTATGACACAGCCAAATATGAAAGACGTCAGAAAAGACAGAGAGATGATGAAGCTGTAGAAAAAGCGGTAGTTGCGTTTGCCCACGCAGTTTCCCACCCAGGGACAGTGGTGATCAAACCGTTCTGAGGGGGGGAAACAGGATATATAGAGATAAGAGGCAAGTTTATAGCAGTTGTAAAGTTTCTAAGCACGGCTTGATGCCAAATGTGTTGTATATTAAACAATAATAAAACACTACCCTGGTACTAGAAGGGCCTTTTCATCAAATTATGATTTTCCTGGTTCAGTAAAAGGATAGATCCAAAACATTTTAAGACCGTAATCAGGTGAGATTACTGAAACTGCTGTAATCCTTCCTCCTATTCATTTGGGGCGCAAAAAGAGATCCCTTCCTAATTTGATGTAAATTATTCGAAAGACAATCTTTGCCCAAATGTATTGCAAAGTTTATCTTATAATGTGAGGCTGAATGGTAAACAAGTAAACACTGTAAACAAGTAAACACTGTAAACAAGTAAACACTGTAAGGAGAACACACAGAGGGAATGTTTTGCTTAAACTACTGTAACGTTGTATGAAACCCACATGATTTGATTATCTCTGAATGCAGGAGCATCACACTCGCTTCAGTTAAACATTCTAGCACTGAACAAGGTTTGTAAGATGTGTCGCCCATTCGTTTCATGGGAAGCATGCGAGGGGGAGATCATTTAACTGTCAGCATAAAGAGGGCGAATGACTAGAGCAAAAATGAATCCTCACATGTACGTACATCTACATACATACATGTGAGGAATGTCTTAATACAGACATGGGAAAATGTGAGCAGGACAGACTTTCCAGCCAGGCTAATGCTTTTAAGGCCACCCACTTTATGTCTAAGGTAAGAGTATGTTGGTTTGTGGTTCTATGTAACTGTTTTGATTGGTACATTTCACTATAGTAGGAAGGTGCGCTCCACGTAGCAAACTAGTGGAAACCTGGCAGCCAAACAGTCTGCATGGTATGTTCCCCATGGCACTGATATTAAGTTGTTAAGTTTAATTAATGCAGTTAAGTGGTGACTTCCCACCACATCCTTACCCACACAGTTGTCACACAGGCTGCAGTGGGAGGTCCGAGGAGGGCGGAACATTTTACATGTGAAGCAGTATTTGAGCTTTACCACCTGCTGGTTGATGAGGATCTCCTTGGTTCGAGGAGGGGGGCGATACGTAGAGGATCCTGAGGTATCTTAAAATAGAGAAGGGGACAGAAGGGACGTGTGCACATTTGATTTTACCCATTAAGCACACAAATGATATGTCTGGCTGTTGCTGTCTTCATACATGGTAGAGAGTAAGCTGCTTAGGTCTTGGTAGGCAGTTCAACCACAAACACTCAGAGATCCCCCATATGGCAAAGCTCCCTTACCCCATCTGCCCCACAGTGATTTTGCAACTCCATGTTGTACCTTACCTATCTGCTTCTCTATGTCTGCTGCTTCATCTGGGGTAGCCCTAGGTAAGATGCCTGGGTCTGTAAAGCTGGTTCTCAGCAGGGAGAAGACCACAAACACAAAAAGGGCCCCACCAATCACAGGTATAAAGACAGTCAGATGTTTCACCAGGAATGGGCAACTGGAAAAGAGATAAGTTTGTTAGTGTCTGCCTGCACTAGTCAAACCCACATTTAATCCCTTAGTATGTTGTCACGAAACTCTGCGATGAAAGTATGAAGCAGGAAGATTGTTCAACTTCCACATTAGTAAAATACATGACATGTTGCATTCAGGGTTCACTTCAAACAGTCATACAAAAGGAAATGTCTAGTTACTCACTCGAATGCAAAGAAAAGGCCACACGTGACAACAATAAGGCCTAGTGTCAGAGGAAGGACACCGCTCTGACTGGGCAGGATGATCCGTCCATCGCAGAAAAACCTGTTCTTCCCCGGGAATACTTCCCATTTCCTCCGCGACCGTTGCACCGTCTTCTCGGTGGTGTTCTGTGCGGACTGAGGCAACACCGACAGCGCCCTCGGGTCGATCTGCTGGTACTCACAGTTTTTCATCATGTAAACAGTATCGACACGGTTCGAAGTTAACTAAAAGGCACACAAAAACTCTCCTTTCTCGCCACGTTTTCGAGACTGTTGTCTCCAGATTAAGTCATTGTAGGTTGGTATTTTGCCTGTTCGGTTAGCGTTCAGTTGTCCATTCTGAAAGCTAACGAAAGCTAGCTAGCGAACCAGCAGAGGCATTCTTCTCCGTAGCAGACTTTAACAATATGAATCAGTTCCCGGGATGACTCAAGGCTAACTACCATGTTTAGTAGTTAAAATAAAGTACTCATTTTGTTAAATTAAATCGTCTTTATCATAAAATCCAACACGATCTGACGGTTTTTTGCTGGAGCTTCTTGCAGCAGTTCACATTTCCTTTCTTTTTTTTTTTGCTGTCAGCCAATGTACGTCAGGATGTGGACGTTTGACGTAAGCACGCAAGCTGCTGACTTGTAATTACGCAATCACGTAATGTTTGCACATTGGTTATTTGTAGATCATTGAACGCCCTTTCCTATGGTGAAAACACGGAATCTTTAGAGAACTAATTAAATTAAATCCCCCATGGAAAATATAATTTTTTTTTGAAAACAAGCAAAACTGATTATAATAATATAGATGCATTATTATAATACACATTTGAAACAAAGGGAGGTAGTTCCAAGAGGTTTGGACACCACAACGTTCTCACTGGGACAATAAAGTATCATGTTATATTATAGTAATATTGTAGACAGGTACATACATCCAAAATGGGACTATACAATTACAAATGTTTTTTTCATAAATGTTATTAAATTAAAATGTGCCGCAGCCGCACATCATTCATGCGGCAAATGAGGGCATTATTCAGCCTTTGGCCCATTATTCAATACAAACATTCTTTCATAGAAGCCACAGATTAGACTGAGACAAATGTGTTTTTTTTAGATGTATGCAGATTCATTTCAAGGGGTAAACATGGTATTGCATGTCCTTTACAACAAACACAATATAGCAATTTTACATTAATGCCTTGAGAAAAAGGATTATCTTCACAATCAAATAAAAATAGGTGAGGATTATTTACAGCAACAAAATCTTTATTTTTTCATTCACATCCGATAATCCCAACGTATAACTTGGGATAATTCTTCCAAACATGCAGTGCAATATTAAATTAAAGAGCAAGATATCAGCAAGAAATACAAATATTTCTTTTTAAAGTAAAACCATAGTTTTCCCAATATGTACAATTAAACAGTGTTGAATAAAGGAATATTTTACATTTGAATTTGACTATATAACAGTTGACTATTGCATGAATAAATTGGCTTCAAAAATGTGTTCATGTTCATAGGTTCTATGTAGGACTTGGTGACATAATTATAATAAGAATTTGAAAAAACTATAAATTTCAGTTAGTGATTTCAGTTTTCTTTTTTTTATAAGTGAGACATTGACATGTTGCATTCATGTATACAATACAATGATGTTCTTTGTGAAAAAGGAGTATTGACGATGTACTGTAAAACACTGGTGATCATATGATTTATAATATGGTTTAAGCCCAGTCCTACATAGAAATGTTGCATTTAAAGCTCAGAGTACCGTCTTTGGTCATGTCCATGGCAAGAAGTTACAATGCAGTGCCAGGCCCAGGACCCAGTAAGAGAGGAAGTATCCCAGGATGCCCTGTGTTGTGGAGGAACAGCTTTTGAAGTATGGTAGCAGTGCAATGATGGGGTTTTGAGGTGTGTGCTGGCATCCATTGCTGGAATGAGTGTGTAGCTGTACATTAGGATTTGATGTTTTCCTTCGATGAAGAAGTGGCTCATTGAGGAGGAGCAGGTGAGCACTTATCCAGAAGGGCACAGGAGTCGAGGAGGCCATGAATCTGGTTAGAACCTACAAATGCAGATTAAAAATAGGAATAGATGAAAATCAAAAAATGTCATACAACCAGACAGATAAAAACATGAAGATGATTATATCCTTTACTCACCTGCACGTGCATGCACAATGTTCCGAACACCAGAAGTACCGTTGAATGTACAATGTACACAAACACTCTGGGGTTAAACATTCCAGGTGTGGGCTTGTCAAAATGTGCACCTGTGTCCCAAAGACCGAGTCTAAAACACAGTTCTGGATTAGCTAGAAAATAAGCATAAGCTGCCATAATGCCGAGGGTGGCCATAGGTAGAGCCAGAATGAAGTTCGGTATCTGCCTCAGCTCAAAGTAGCGGAGGAAGCCCACATCCCAATAAACATCCTGGATATGAGAATACAGCAGAGGCAGAGGTCTCATGCACCATAGAGGCGGTGGACCATTTTCATCTGGAACCCGGTAGCCCTTTAGTTCAGCCAGAGACACAAGAGCAGGGGGGATCTGTTCCAAGGAGACAGAAGGAGTGCAAAACGTCCTATACCCATAGTATTGGAAAGCACAGAAGGGAAGAGCAATAATTGCAGTTCCCAGGAGGGATGTAAGCAGGAGACGGATGATGGCCCAAATGTAGTGGAAGACTTTACTGTGGCCTTTTGTCGTTGTTCGATAAACACGAATCTGGGTAATAGCATGCAGTGAAGGAAGATACAGTAGAAATCCTATGTTAACAAGTCCATTAGATCGTGCTGCAGTGGCTATACTTAGAGCAAGGCAGGCTCGCAAGGTGAATCCTTTCTCCAGCAGGTACAGACCGCCAAATGTGAGTGCAGCAAACAGGCTTTCTGAGTATCCAGCGGTCATAAAAACGTTGGCAGGTGTGATGCAGTAGAGCAGGCTGGAGAGCAGAGCAAGTCGTCTGTCCTGAAGAACCGTCCTACTGAGCGCATACAGGGCGACCACGCTCAACAGGAAGAGGGCAGTGTTCCCCAGAGCCACGGCCACCAGCAGACGCCCCCGCACACTCAGCCAGCTGCTCAGGGGCCACAGCAGCGTCTCTGCCAGGCCCCGGAGGATGATGGGGAAGAGGGGGAAGAAAGCAAAGTTGTGCTCATAAAGGTATCCTCTCTCAGCGATGAAGAGGAAATGCTCAGCATCCCAGTGAGACAGGCCTCCCAACAACCACTCCACTGAAGAGTCCAAGAACATAGGCTCCTCTGTCCGTGGGGGCCTGAATGCATCAGCATCATGGTCAGGGATGACAGCATTGAAGACAGCCTGAGGAGAAATATTAAACACCATGAGAGTAAATACTGCCATCGTAAGCAATTTAGCTGTACAGAGAAACCCAGCTGCAGTCACTCTGTCTCTGACCTACTTACCACATACAGTATGTATTCCCCTGAGCACTATCCATTACACACAGACATATCATTGCCAAGGTGACTTAAACGTCAGGGGAAATCATGGTTAATAACAAACATTGCAGGTGTAAACAGGATTAGCCTATTCCTAACCATCCAACTTGGGCAAATGTACCTGCAACAACAGGGACAATCCCCTGGTAGCTGTGGCAAACTCTAGCACTGCTCGGACGTCCATAGTCATTGATGTGACGAAGAAAATGTGAAAAAGCCGGTTCTGAAAGGCTGGAGCATTGTCACTGCTACGAGACAGTCACCTCATACTGACTATAAAACATAACTAGCGAGGAAAAAACACTCAGCGAATGATATTATGGAAGTTTCGCGTTTTCATTGGTTAGACAAATTTAAGACAGGGTAAACACTGATGTTATTAGTTAGCCACCCGTCGTTATTAATTGTTTGTTTTCGCATAGGTGCAATCTTTGTCCTCACATCCTCATCATCCTGCAGCAGCTTCGTTTCGAATAGCACTTTTTACTTCCGGTGCAACTGAAGTCTTTTCAAAACAAAAGCTCATGAGGCGAGTTCAGGAGAAGCCTTTTGTAGTTTCTGGTAAGTAAAAATGCTTTCATTTTTATTTATTCGAGGAATGGGGGAAGCGAAATATAAGCAGTATATTTTTTTTTATTCAATTGTGTAATCTTAAATCAGATATGTCGTGTCTTAGATTTGTTGGTCATGTGACGGAATCAATGCTGTTTCTTTCCAGCAGAAGGAGCTCCACACTGTTTTATGGACTGGTTTTTCAAGTAGTGCAAGTATGTTCTTCATGAAAGGACATCCTGTTGCCTGTCTTTTTAGTCTTTTAAATGTTATTTGTTTGGATTAAAGATGAATATTGTAACACGTCTTTGATGTACCCACTCATGTGAAATATATATAATTTCTAAAGTCTGCACAGCTTTCATGTTAAAGGTCCCATGTCATGCTTTTCCGGTTATTACCCGTCCCCTTGTGTGTTATGAAGGTTTTTATGCATGTAAACGGTCTGCAAAGTCACAAACCCTCAAAGTACACCCTGTAGCGAATAAAACTCTAACACAGAAAATACCTGTCTATGCTGCACCAGAACGCCTCGTTGGAGATTCCTCTTTTTCTTCCTGGGTACAGTGACGTGCCCATACCCAAATGGACCAATCCGTGGAGCCGTTAGGTTGAGTCCGTGGATTGGTCGCAATGGACCAATCCGGACTTCCTCACACACACACTCAATCTTTAATCAGCTGCAGCTCAGCCGATTTCTCCTCCCTGAGATGGCGGGACACGAGTCGGTGTGTGAGCACACACACAAACTCCCAGCCAGGCTGCGGGTGTGTTCGGGCTGGGTTTCGCTGTCTCGCAGATGGCCACTGGGCACATAGGGAGGGGGGGGGCAGGAGCTCCAACAAGCCGTTTAGGACAGAGAGTGAATACATATACTATACAGAGATGCTGTATGAGTAACCAATGTGATTTTGGAACACTGCACAATATAAATCTATTTTAGTATACCTCAACAATGGAATTATGATCAGTAGAAATGGCCATGCCATGGGACCTTTAATGACCTTTTTTTTCATATTTGTGTTGAATTAATTTCTGCTCTTTGTGTTTCTTGGTTTTAATAGTACTTGCTTTTATCTGAATGCACCAAAACAGCAAAGCAAATTGTTTGTGAAAATATTGACAATAAACACAATTCTGATAGTCATTAAGTGTGCTTTTCAGATTTGTACTAAATGGAACATGAAGCGGGTTCTGTTTGGCCCCCGATAAAGATTTAGCAGAAATGTTTAGCTTTAGTGGAAAGCATAAAAAGGTTTTGATAAATATTAAAATGGATATAGAGTTTAAATGTGGTCTTCAGTCTTTATGCTATGTAGCCTGTTCAAGTTAGGCGAGACAACTCGCTGAGGGCGCCAGTTTTTTTTAAGCATGTTCGCATTTTTTTTCTTCTGAAACACAGAAACAGTAATGAAGCTTCTAATGTAAACAGTAATTAAAATGATGAGTCAAGCCCGCTGAGTAGGACAGTGTTTCCTGAGCACTGAGGTGAAGAAGCATGCATGAAATTCGTTTCAACCCAATTGTGTGCAAATTCACACATTCGATGGAGGTCACTATTCCAGAAGAACAAAACAATCAACAGCTTACGAAGATTTAATGTACATTTATTCTTACCACGTGGAACATATAGTATAAAGATTTCATACTGAATAAATGATATTCATTGAGCCAAAAAAGGGAAAGGGAGGAATTTACATGTTGTCTTAGCTACATAGTCTGAAATACAAATATGCAGAATCCATGACTGAAGAAAAATTGTCAAATGTGTACTTCATCTAGTTTATTTTTGTTGTACCAGGAGATAACAAGTTTTAGCCGTGTCTGCCATACTACGGAGCTGTGGAGAGACCGGAGGTGTGGGTCTAATCGGTGGGGACTGGAGATCACAGACCACACTCACATGTCAGCCTCAATCCCTCACCAATAACAAGAGTGAGAATAGTGACACAGACAGAGACAGACACAGAGAAAGGAAGTGTAATGTACAACATTATATATACACCACAGCAAAGCTGTATTTGAAGTTGAAAACCAGTCCTAAGAGGTGATTTCTTTTCATAAGGGTATTCATACAATCAAGGGATAAGAGGAGGTAAGGGTGTTGTAGGTTCTTGATACTTTGGGGAAGAAAGCCATTTTCTGTTTAACACCAAACTAAAAATGACCTCAAAAACTGTAGAAGAGCTGCATCTTCTGCTTCTTTGTGAAACGTGTGATACAGAATGCTTACACTCAAGAGCAGTACGGTACAGAAAATGTCCTACAATCTACTGCACACTGCACAGGCCTCCCCGGTGAAGGTGTCTATTGACAGCACTTAGTCTACTGTCGGGCTGACTGGTGAAAATCCAACTACAGCAACTATAACCAGTAGGCCACTTGTCAGTCTGTTTCACCTCTGAAAGTCAACCAGTTACAGACTCATTGTGCCCTCGAGGGGAGAGCTAGGGCACGCTGTGTCTTCCAAACTCACTGTAAACGAGACAGCAACTTTGGTTACAGTTTTTGTTTTTCAGCTATTTATTTATTTATTCATCTTTATTAAAAAGTACTTTTCCCCCCAAGTGCAGAACAGTCTCCCAACCGCTGTGCTCTGCTCCATGTCATCCAGTTGGCATTCCTGTTGCAAGTAGTGTCACTTTGTGGGCATCTCTCCGGTTTTGTAATCCCACACAGCTCTGTGATAGCCCTCCTCGAGCAAGGACGGCCTGCGGAGGGCTCAGAGAATGGAGTCTGAAGGATTTCATAAATTAAAGACAGTCACTTGAACTTTCCTTGCCCTGTTAACACACACAAGCCAGGTTTCCAGGGAAGAGGGGATTGGGGATAAAACCCCCCAAAATGTGGAGCCAAGGCTCCCTACAGCTGTCATGACTGGCCCACCAAAAAGAGTACATCACAGATAACATGAGAAACCAGTGAGTTCATAAGGGGAGACACTGAAAGGTCGAGGAGTCGGGACTCTTGTAGTGTGAACTCTGAGTGGTTATCCTCCACCTTGGCTAAGGCGTGCAGCGCCCGGGCAGCCCGCCGCATCATGTCTGGACTTGTGGGCTCGAAGTGCATTCCCTGTAGGTGTAGCAGAGAGCTCTGGCTCTGCTGGAGCTGCGTGGCGGCCAGACTGTCCTCCAGGAAGCCCAGCAAGTTCCCCACGCTGCCTTTCTGCACCGCGATTGCTCGAGCTGCGACGGTATCACCCTGGGCTAGGTTGGCCAATAGGACCACGGCCATCTCCCTGCAGACGGCAACCTTCCTGTCTCCGATTAGCCGCACCAGGCTCCCGTATAGCTTCTCCAACCGACTGAATGGCGGAGTGGCCAGGATGAGGTCCACATTGTTGTCTTGGATGCTTAGTTTGCTAAGTGTTTCCAGCACCAGTCTCTGAGGTGACAAAGCACTGTGGGGGCCCAGGGAGGGGAAGGGGTCCTGGGCCTCTGCCGATGGGCAAACAGCCCAGTGGAGAAGACCATCCAACAGAGGCAGGCAGATGCTCTCGGGGTAGATTGAGAGGTCTAGTTGGCCTGAGATGTTTGCCAAAGTGACCAGTGTGTTCTCCCTCAGGAGCTCCAAGCAGTCCCACCACCATTCATCCCTTTGGCCCAAGCCCTCTTCTGAATCCTCATCTTTCTCGTAGGTGAGCGGTGCTTGTTTGCGCTCAGGGTGCCTGTGATGGAGCAGGATCAGGCGGCCCAGCATCAGCAGCAGCCCAGGATGTTTGGACATCTCGTGGTCGTTGCCTGGCACAAAGGAGAGGCTCCGGACAATGTTGGAGATACAAATGCAGCGGCGGGCTAAAGAGTCCTGCCAGTTAGCCAGTGCGATGAGTGGCCCCTCGTCTTTACTGTGAGGCTCATCTTCCAGGATGATGCCAGTCTGCTTTGCCCTCGGGGTGAAGAGAATGTCAAGGGAAGGAATGGGTCGATTATTCTCCTGGTGATCAACTTTCTCCACTGTTTTTGTCTCAGAATCGTTTTTTCTCTCCTCCTCATTGTCCAGAGAGGGGCTGGTCTTCTCTGCCTCCGCAGCTTTCTCAGAGGAAGAAGTCTCTTTTGACCTTTCTTCTTCGTCCTGGTTCTTCCTTTCCTCTTCATCAGTTAGCAAACTATTTTCCAGGTAAACTTCTGGGACGCGTTGCTTCAGCAACTTTGAGGGCACACATATTCGTTGTCGTGGTTCCAAGAAGTCTTTGCGTGGCTCAAAGTGAGTCTGGATGTGCTCTGTTGAGTCTCCCCCGCCAGCACTCCAATGAATTAACCCGCTGTCAAACTCTTGCATTTTGCCGTGATTATTATTAGCTGGATATGGGTCCTTCTTTCGTATCACCTTTAGAGGGAACTTGTCAAACTTGCTGGCCTGTTGAGGTCTTTCATGGGCAGCTAAGGACTGCGATGAGCCCGTCTGGTCAGAGGAGGAACCCTTGTTCTTCCTGTCCTCATCTTCTGTCTTCTCCCCTTGAGCCTGAGACTCAGAGCACTGCTCTTCCTCTTCTTTCACACGCACTGGAGCCTCCGTTTCTTGTTCCTCCTCTTCATCTTCGTCCTCGTCTCCGTCCTCTTGTTCCATATCCTCAGCTCGAAGCTCTTCTCCTTCTTTGTCCCAGTCTCGTTTCAAGGCATCAGGATCAAGTAGTGTCCTCTGGCCAGGGTCTCCCACCTCGTACTCCCGCAGAATGCCAAAGACTTCGATGAGGCAGCGTCTGAAATACTCAACCACCAACTCCAGCAGGCCGGGTAACTGAAGAAAGAACATTAGATAAACGTTAGACATGATCGCTAAGGATACTGTGCATAGTGATTGTTATAAACAGTCATTAAGTCTCACCGTATTGAGCTCAAAGGTGGAAATACTGTTGTCATCATACAGGAGGATGTTGATGGTGTCTAAGGCCCACGTACTTTCAGCCAACAAACCAGACTTTAGAGACATCATGACTCTCCAGGCCTCCGGGGTTCCTAAGGATTCAAGACAAAAAAGCAACAACTTAGAACCACATAGTTATAGCAGTGCTGTCAATCATAAAAAGGTTTAATGTTTAAATATACTATATTATTTAATTTTAGGCATACCAATATCTTTTACGGTGAGTCTTCGCCGTGGTTTCAGGATTGGATGGGAGGCTTCTATAGACCCCGGGGGGAAAGGCATGTCTCGCCTTATTAGGGGCGACTGCACCGGAGGGGGCACTATGTGAGACGCAGGCACTGGAGGGCCGGCCTTCTGCATCTTCATGACTCCGTGCATATAGGGAGATTTACTCGGTGATGTCCTGCTATCCATGGGGCGGGGCATGGAGGCGGGGCTGGACACCTGTGGAATGTGGTTCTGCACCCCCTGAAGGGACTGGTAGGTGGACTGTACCGGGCGAGGCATTGGCTGGCCGGGCCCGGCTGGACCATAAGAAGGCTGCCGAGGGCCCATCTGACCCCCCCACTGGCCATCGTGATTCATGCGCTGCTCTGACGACATCATCTCCTCCGAGCGGTTCATGCCAGGGTAACCGGGTCCCTGGGGTGGGCCGCCCTGCCGACCGGGGTAGTTCTGATAGTTCATGTCTCGCGGCCCCTGCCACATACCTCCCTGAGGACCCTCGGGGCCTGGCTGCATCATCTGAGGGGGCATGTTGGGCTGAGCGTTGGGCCCCGTCGAACCCTGCATACGTTCACGGCCAAATGGGAATGGGAACTGATTGCTTGGGCCAGGTGGACGCCGATCAGGGCCGGGGTAGGGCCCGCTGCCGCTGTACTGATTGTACGACTCTTGCTGTCCTGAAGAGGGTGCAGGGGCCCCTCCTGGCTGCTGCTGCTGCTGCTGCTGCTGCTGTTGCGGAGGTTGTTGTCCGCCATGGAAGGGCCCACTGTACTCCGCCTCATGACGTTTTGATGGAGGATAACCCCCTTCCACAGGACGCTTGTAACCCTACGCATCAAAAAGGTACAGAGACACAATTGATTTCACACCATAACAGTAGAACAAAACTAAATCCACTTTATAGTGTCATACTAGGCAAAGAGAAAAATATATACTAAGTCAATACAGTGTATTGAGCATCATGTGAGTGAGTGTAGTGCAGATTAATCATTGACCTGTTGTTGTGGGTACATTCCAGGCTGCTGATTTTGGTAGGAGCCTCCAGGGGGCGTTCCCTGTCCAGCATACTGATTACCATAGGAATCATGCCTGCAAACATAATGCCTCGTCAGTGTGATCATGAACATAATATGCATTTCTATGTCGCAAGCTCACATTTACAGTCAACATTATGTCTTATAGTGTTTTGTGAGCAAAACATATCAAGAGTTTCTATTTATTTAAAGCTTTACACACTCATTATTCTTCATTTGTTTTTATACCCGTCTCAGTTGAATCAATAGGATTTTTTGTATACATCTATTTTTGTACTGTTTAAATATTATGTTAAATGGAAAAACTAAACTATTTGTGTTAATTGTACTGCAAACTAGCTGGTATAATACAGGCCTAGAGTAATTTTATAAAATGGGATTCACATTTCATTCCAACCTGACTGTGCTGCCTTTACCACACCCACATACAATAAACCCAAGCCAAAAAAAACTTTGTGATCAATTGAGATGTAGAATTAAAATGTTACCCATAAGGTAAAGCATTTAATTTATAATGCTTATTAATGTAGAAATGTTTAAGATGGTACACTTTGTAAAAATGCAAATATGTTTTTTATGAAGTTTGAACAGTTTCCATTGACAGGGGCTATGGGTACTGACCGTGGCTGCTGTGGTGGGAAGCGATTTGGCGAATACATCCCTGCGTCGGCATTGGCAGGCATCATAGGGTTTGGCTGAGGAGCCCCGGATCCCATGTTGCCCTCTGGGCCCATTCCCGGCTCCGATCTGGATAACCAGAACAATACACATGGTACATTTAAATCTTTACAGAGACACTACAACATGAATACTTTGGTGGCAAATGAATATTGGTTACTAGCCAGATATCAGATGCTACCAGTCCAAATGGGTACAACTGGGCTATCAGTCATTTTGCAACAAATTATTGATGTGGAATTATTTTTCAGAGTAGCACATTTTTCTAATAGAAACCAATCTGTTCACAATGAAATTGAGTAAATAGATATCATTTCACAACCGCTATAAAGTAAAGTGCACTGGAAAGATAAGCATGGACATGACACGTGTGCCACATTCCAAACTCAATTTATATTTAAAAAAGTAAAACTTCTTTCAGATCTGTTGACTGAATTTTGAGTGTTTTTTGGTACATTTTTAATAACCAAACCATGTCAATCCATGGCATTACATCGACTAATGTGTAATAAGCTAGCTGACTCCTTGGCCCATTACCATGACCCATTTCTTGAAATTCGTTCAATCACAAACATGTTCAGCTTTAGAAAAACCTTTCATGACCTGCATAAGAACTTTTAGGTGCGACTAATCATAAAAATAGCTGCTGGTTATAATCAGTGTTCAACAACCTTGAAAATTCCATCTTCCTATCACTGATTTGTACCTCCTGTCGTAGCCTGGTCCATAGGGATACTGCTGTCTGGGCCCCATGGGCATCGTGCCTATGGCCCCAGGCAGTCCTCTGTTGAATGGAGGCTGATGTTGCTGCTGCTGTGGTTGTGGCGGTTGCTGCTGCTGATGGTCACCCACCCCGCTGTTAGGGCCTGGGTTAGCTGGTAGGAAGTGTTCCCCGACTGGAAATGCATTCAAAATCATTTGCATTAATAATAGACTAACTCAACAGGTAATATAGATAGTTCTTTAGTTTCTAGGACACCCACCTTTGCGCATGTTACCAAAGGGGTCCTTGTTGGGTTCGAAGGAGCCCATGCGCCCCTGAACGTCCGCCGGGTTCATGCCGGACTGATAGGCAGAGTTGGGCGTCAGGTTTTTCCTGGGGAAAGCAGGGTCGCTTCCTTCAGAGAAGGGGTCCTGCAGGTTAACGCTGCTCCTAGTAAGAAGCAGGGGTGAGAAGAAGGGGAAATAAGGAGATGGTGGGAGAGAGGGAGGAAGAGGCAGAAATAAATTAGTTTCTCTTATCAAAATGTCTTAAAATCTAGGACAAAATGGTAAAGTCAGGGGTGTTAAACAACGGTCACCTGGACCCGGGTGTCATTGGGGGCATCTGGGTGTGAGGAGTGGAGGCTGGGGTGGGAGGTTTAAGGTCCCCCCCCTCAGCCATGGAGCTGCTGGTGGACTGGGGTGTCTGTGGACCCTGCAGAGAGCCTGACCCAGCTGTGGAGCAGAGGGACGCTTCAGTTCGGAATAAAGACAGGAGCAGACAGACATGGTACATGACTTTAATTACACTAAAAAAACACAGGTTATGTTTGTAGGTAAGTGCATTCATTTAAACTGCACTTAAACATGTATTTGATTGGAATTGAGTGCAGCTCTAACCTGGAGAGGGTGGCTGGACCTTAGCAGCTTGGTTCTTTTTGTTGTCTGTCACAATCTCAGGAGGAGGGTCCTCGCCTCGCTCAATTTTGCACTCAAAGGCGTACAGACACTGGACGTACTGTTTCTTCAAAGAACTGGCAGCACTGCTGGATGTACCCACATTCAAGGATGTGGCCAGATCGCGCCATTTCTTATTCTTACTCACCTGGGAGATGCATAAACACATAATACTTAGAATAGGGGGGCAAGCAATACATGGAGTTTTGAATGAATTGTAAATGTATAAATGCAGTATTAACCTGTGCCATGCTTCCGATCTCTTTGACTGACATATACAGTCGGAAGAGATCAAGGGGTTTGCGGCCCACAGCGGGCAGGTTGGTCATCGGCATGGCTTTTTCTTCCACAAAAGCCAAATATCGGTCCACCCATATCTTTCTCTCCGGCTCCGGTCCTAACTCATACAGACGGGTTATCTTCTCATTGGTAGTGGTCGAAGAGTTGGACTTCTACATTTAAAAAAGGAGAAAATAATAGAATTGTAGACATTTATGGGTTGAAGACTTTCTAAAGTTTTCTAATATAATGCCGTCACAACATGTGGTCGACAGGTTACCTTGGATTTGGGCTCCGGCTTGGGTGTTGCACCCCCATCTACTTTATTATTCATCTTATTGTTCATTTCTGGACTGGGGGCCATGCCTTGACACAATAGTAGGGATTGGAATTAGCTTTTTAAATGCCACATTAAAAACAAGTGAACAAAGCTAGGGCTGGTCATCTCTGTACAACTTACCACTTGAGTTATTGGCCATGTTCGGCCCCATGGGATAAGGTGATCCACCTTGAGGGTTCATCATTCCAGGCATGTTGTTCATAGGAGGGCCATAGGGTGGGCCGGAGCCCATCATTCCTGGAGACATGCTGGGGTATCCAGGCATCCTGGCCAGAGGAAAAATAAATCTGGTTTTCATAAAAGTGACAAAGTATGGACCAGGAATCTCATAAAGTCAATCAGAGGTCTAGTGTGAGGTGAACAGAGTCTCCATGGTAAACCTACCTGTTGTGCATGGAGTTGGTGGCAGGATGCTGCATGGCAGAGGGGTCCTGGGGCTTTCTGTTCATGCCTGGAGGAGGACACATGCCTGAGCCTACCTGGGGTGGCATGTTGCCCATGTTAGGGCCCATGTTGGGACCCATGTTGGGTGCCATGTTGGGGGCCATGTTGGGGGCCATGTTGGGGGCCATGTTGGGGGCCATGTTTGGACCCATGTTTGGGCCATAGGGACGTGGCCCCATTTGATGAGGAGGCATCCTTCCGGGGGGCATGCCGGCATACGGCGGTCCCCCACCCTGTCCTGCCATGGCATTCATTGGGCCCATGCCCGGACCAGTGTAGTTTGCGTTGGGCATGTTTCCATAGCCAGGTTGCCGTGGATAACCTAAGGATGTCATTTTTAGAAAAAGATTATCAGGGAGAGAAACCACTTGGCTGTGGCTGTATACTGGTCTTGAAAAAACACGGCAACAGTATTTGTGTTCACTTTAAAATGTGGATATTCGGAGCAACAGGAGTCTTTTACTCAAGAGATATGTGATGCAGACTTTTTTTCCTACAGTGTGCTAGCAGAGAGAGCTATGCACCCTGAGCAACAAGCCTTCGTCACAGTCTCAGCTCTACTGACAGGAGGCTCTGCTACGTCAGCTGACTCTCTGCTTCACAGCTATAAATAGCTGCAACAGAGTCAGAGGGAGGGACCATGGTATTCATATGAGGCAGGGGAGATATATTCCATAGGTTTTCCTAATGGAAACTAAACACTAGAGAACCTCAGAAATATAAGTAAATTAAGTGGAAAACTTTTTGCAACATAATCGTTTAAAAAAAATCCTCCTCTAAAGCCCATTATATAATTAATCTTTCCAAATCATCAGAGCATAATTTATAGTAAATAAATCTCTCTTCAAGTAAAACATAATGAAGATAATGTAATAGTACACACCTTGTGGGCCATATTGTCCCCCCTGCTGTCCATAACCACCCATGGAGTTGTTCTGCTGATATGGGCCTATCCCAGGATGCATCTGTCCCCCTGAGGACTGTCGCGGGGACAGTGCAGAGGCTGACTGGGGGGAGCCATAAGGGGGCATCTGAGGGTTTCTCTGCATAAACCCTGAAAGAGGGATGGAGAAGGCGCTCAGAATCAGTTTCTGCGTCGAACACTGTTGACGTGTAAATCTCTATGTACACTTTGCGTTTTGACTGCAGCATACCTCTGTCCTGCGCCATGGGAGACTGGCTCATTGCAGGATGTAGACTCCCATCTGAATGGACACTCGATGGCCTGGGAGGCATCTGGGTCCCTAAAAATAATAATATAATGAGTTGATTTAGTGACAGTCGAAAGTGGGTACAAGTATTGACTTTCAAGGTACTGTGCTTGTCAGTAACCATATGTTGAGTAGGAAGTTAAGTAGTATGTCCCTATGTAACAATTGTATCTATACTAAAAATGTGGTTGAAAAACGTTCTAATGGGTATCGATTATAAATGGAGAAATTCAGTAACCTTGAAAGAAACCTAGGGCCAGTGATTCAAACAGGATTGGTAAGCATTTACTGCTGGACCCATTGGGTGAGTAAGTAAGATTGCATATATTTTTTAGAAAGCATTATGGCTTCAATAAAGTGAATAGAAGAGAATAGTGTTATTAGAGTATGGTACCGTGTAATTCTAAGTTAAAGACATTTCAGAGGGAAGCACCGAAATGATTCAAGCACATTTCAGAAGGAAGCACTTGAATAAAAAAGTATATATAATAATATTTTTATATTAAGTGTTAACCATTAAATGTTTAGAGAATAGTTGTCATGTATTGCAATGAAAATCATTAAGAATTTCAGAACTTGCTAATGATCATATGCCTAATTTCAGTGTGAGGGATCAGCCCACCTGGCATGTTGGCAGGTGACAGCGGTCCTGTGCGGGGCGTGCTGGCACCGGCAGGGGAGCCAGCTGGTGAAGGTGAAGGCCCTCGGATGCCTGGCAGGTGGGGAGACGTATGAGGAGAGAAGGGCGACTGAGCCTGGTTACTCTGCTCGCCCTGGCTGCTCGACACACCTGACGTGCTCACACCGGGGCTCAGGGCGCTCTCTGCACCTGTAGGCAGGTCATCGATGGACCCCGACAGGTCCTGAAAACACAAACAGGAAGGGCAGAAGAAGGGTCACAAACATGAAATACTTTAAACAGTTTGAAAAAAAGAAAACTGTTATTTTTGTTTAATACTCCGGCTGTAGTATCAGCAGGTTGCAATTCCTGCTCCGTTGTTTATATACCAGTGACACACATACAGATACTACACATGCACACAAAGGCCCAGAGGCCTTTGTCCTTATTTATCTTTTTCAAAGAAAAAAACGAGTGTGCATTAGGGCCAGGGGTTGTCATGGTTACTAAGGCTTGTAGGATGCCAGCTGAGTCAGCATGTAGCAGCAGCCTTGCCATGTGATTTTAATACACAAACAAACAAACTGTCTTGTGTTCATCTGATATGTACTTATTTACACAGCACCTTTTACATAGATGTTTCTCAAAATCTGCTCTCGGACAAAGACTAAAATCATTAAGGGGCGGAAGCAGCCACAACACAAACGGAAAGCAAAATGAAAGCTTAAAAAAATTAATAGCTGACATTTAAAAGGGGGAATTTAAGTGATGGGCCTGATATTGTCATATATTCGATATATTGACAGATTAATATGTCCAGTGGAATTTAAACAAGGACACAAATAGAAACTTGCCCTCTCCTCGGGGTGAAAGACAAATAAAATGTGAAAGGCTTTCTATGTTCCAGCAGAGACTTAAGAAGAAACTGACCGGAAGGCTGGAGGGGCGGCCTTGACTGTCCTCTGGGCCAGATTTAGGCTGAGTGGATGGAGGGGCGTTGGACTGAAATGAGTCCTGCGATACCTCCTAAAAGACACCAGAACACATGCTTAAGTATACTGCCAGAGTTACAGGACAGCATGCATGTGATCACAGTATTTAATTAAGTATGATAGCTATGTTGCCTGACTGGGGTAGTACCTGCTGTGGTGGAGGAGGAAACCGCTGATAAGGTGACTGTTGTGCTTGCTGCTGCTGCTGCTGCTGCTGCTGCTGTTGTTGTTGTTGTTGTTGTTGTTGTTGTTGTTGTTGTTGTTGTTGTTGTTGTTGTTGTTGCTGCTGCTGCTGCTGCTGCTGCTGCTGCTGCTGCTGCTGCTGCTGCTGCTGCTGCTGCTGCTGCTGAGGGTTCTGTGAGTACGCTGCAGGCTGGCCCTGTGGGTGTTGGCTGTGTCCTGGTGGCTGCTGTGGAGGCTGGGGCTGGGGCTGGGGCTGGGGCTGTGGCTGGGGCTGTGGCTGGGGCTGTGGCTGGGGCTGCGAGGGGGGCTGCTGAGGCCCCTGTGTGGACCCTGGGTAGTTGGACTGGCCCTGTGATCCTGGGGGTTCCTGGGAACTTGGCTGCTGTGGGGCCTGACTGGGAGGACCCTGCTGCTGGGCGTAGAGAGACTGGCCAGATTGTGGGGCTGAGGATTGGGAATAAGGTGGCTGAGACTGTGTAGGCCCTTGGGACGGGCCTGGCAGCGGCCCCTGGGATTGTGGGGGCTGCTGATAAGGTTGTCCTCCCTGGGTGTGTGAAGCAGAAGTCGGTGCAGGGTGGGTTTGCCCTGGGTAAGGCGCCTGGCCCCCCGGTTGTCCTGGTGGGGTCTGGGAGTAAGGGGTCTGCTGCTGGCTCGGGTGAGGAGCCTGGCCGGGCTGGTTGTAATACGGTGCCTGGCCCTGAGAGCCATAGCCTCCTGGTCCCTGCTGTCCATAAGATCCCATCTACACAGAATAAACATATACATAAGACTTCAAACACAACTGAAACGCTGATGTAGATAAAATGTGTCACTTAGGACCAGAGTTACCATTAGCCGGTAATTACCGGACTATGACCTGTAAAATATGCTGAAGACCGGCAAATCTAAATCTCTCCGGTCAAAATGTCCGCTCAAAAATAATTTGTCCTTAGCGCAATACCGCATCAGTTGCGCCACTCATGTGACAGACAAAAGATTATGTGACAGACAAGAANCTGCGTTTGATACTATCGACCATGATATCCTATTGCAAAGACTAGAGCACTTAGTTGGCATACAGGGAACTGCTCTAGGCTGGTTTAGGTCCTATTTGTCGGAACGCTCTCAGTTTGTGTGTGTCAACGATGAATCTTCCATGCAAACCAAAGTTAGCCATGGAGTGCCACAGGGCTCAGTGCTCTGACCTATTTTGTTCACATTATATATGCTTCCGTTAGGCAATATTATAAGGAATCATTCTGTACATTTTCATTGTTATGCGGATGATACTCAACTATATTTATCCATCAAGCCTGATGAAACCAATCTAAATAAAATTCAAGACTGCCTCAAGGATTTAAAAACGTGGATCACCTTACATTTTTTTATGTTAAACACGGCTAAAACTGAAGTTATTGTATCCCAAAGAATCAACAAAACATACTATCTAAAGATATACTAGTTATGGATGGCATTAATTTGGCCTCCAGTGAGACTGTAAGGAATCTTGGTGTTATATTTGATCAGGATTTATCCTTTAACGCCCACATAAAATTAATATCAAGGACTGCCTACTTCCATCTACGCAACATTGCCAAAATTAGGCATATCTTGCCTCAAAACGATGCAGAGAAACTAGTCCATGCATTTGTTACTTCTAGGCTGGATTATTGTAACTCCTTATTGTCAGGGTGTACCAAGAAGTCAGTTAAGTCGCTTCAGCTGATTCAAAATGCTGCAGCTTGTGTACTAATCAGAGTTAGGAAAAGGGACCACATTACTCCTGTTCTGGCTGCCTTACACTGGCTCCCTATAGAACACAGGATAGAATTTAAAATTCTTCTTCTCGCCTACAAAGCCCTTAATGGGCAGGCGCCATCTTACCTTAAAGAACTTATTATACCCTACTGTCCTCCTACTAGGGCATTGCATTCCAAGAATGCAGGGTTGTTGGTTGTTCCTAGAGTTTCTAAAAGTACAATGGGAGCCAGAGCCTTTTCTTATCAAGCTCCACTTTTGTGGAATCAGCTTCCAGTTTGTGTTCGGGCGGCAGACAGCCTATCTGTTTTTAAGAGTACGCTTAAAACCTTCCTTTTTGATAAAGCTTAAAATAAAATAATCTAATAAGAGTGCATTGACGTAGATACGTTGTGCCTCTTCACCTATACATTTCAGTTCTTACTCTTTCACTTAANTAGCGCAGCATTATGCATTTGTGATTTGTTTACATGCCCACCGGAACCCCGAGGCATTATCAACAGATCAACTCACAATCAACCCATACAGGACATCTCTTTCTCCACATTAAGTGTTAGACATTAGAAAGAGATGTCCTGTATGGGTTGATTGTGAGTTGATCTGTTGATAATGCCTCGGGGTTCCGGTGGGCATGTAAACAAATCACAAATGCATAATGCTGCGCTATACTTTGTGGCCTCACCCAGTTGCATAGCGACGCTTATTGTTTAGATGTGTTTTGATAAGCAGGTAGTCATATCATTAGCTAGAACTAGCTAGATCTGATCGATATGGACATAAACGCGAGTAAAAACTGACAGGAGAGAGAGATCAGCTGCTGCTGACGAGTAGACACGCAGCTCTGCATGATCACCTGCAGCGGTGAGCGGAACAAAACACACACTTCAGGTATCTTCACCTCAGAATATCACACGTAGCTATTTGAATTACCTCTCAAACTACCTAAACTAGTTATAGATATTTTTAGGTTTACTGCCGGGTCACTCATTAGCTGCATGATACTGGCGGGCTGTCAGGAGAAGGAGAGAGCGCTCCGTTTATTATTCCCGTATTATTGTAAATTACTGTACACTTTTGAATAGTTAATCTACTATAATTAGTTTGTTTAATATCGAATCATATCAATTTGTTTTAAAGCTCAATAAATAACAAAGAAGACCTTTGACCGGCACTTTTCTAATTTTGTCCGGAAGATTTAAACTTTAACGGAGATTTTGACCGGCAAAAAAATATTCTAACGGGAACTCTGCTTAGGACTCAGTTCTGAATAAGATAAGATGTGTTAAATACCTGAGGACCATACGGCACGCTACCCATGGCTCCAGGTGAACGTCCTTGCATTCCCACTGGAAATCTTTGAGGACCTGGAGGGCCATAACCCTGACCAGGGTAACCTGGCCCCTGTTGTGGACCTGTGGGAGGCCCTTGCTGTGACTGCTGACTGTATGGACTGCCTGCTCCATATGGTTGACCTCTCATTTTCCCCATTGGGTCAATAGGACCAGGTGGCTAGAGATGGAAAAAACACAAGAAAAAACATTAAGTCAAAAACTTAACCGCATAGGAGAAATTTATGACAGCAAGAGATACCCCTTAAATGCCGCTCTCTTTATTCTTATACTTAATTAGGCAATTAAAGTGTCTCCATAAACTACTTGGCTGCATTATGTAACTTTGATCAACTTAAAGTCTTAAAAACTAACTTAAATGAATGAGGAAATTGTGCCTTTTTTACCTTATTTCCCACGGTCATTACCCAGATTTTTTTCACCTCACTTTGCAATAGTTTCGGAAGTCAACAGAGCTATATATATATATATCTACTTTCGAATGGAGGGCAGTCTGCCCAATCTTAAACATATCCCAGCTGTGCTTCTGTTTTGAGCCTGGTCCAAGTAGCTTTTTTTCCCCTAGAGAAGGCAGTTTGGCTCTGGATGAATGACACCAGAAATGAGCGAAGTACTTTCAAAACAGCAGGAGAGTGAAAAATGCTCAAGAGCCTACTCTGTTTATAAGCCCACGGTAAGCAGAAACTTTCATGCTCAGGTGAAAACTACCTTCTAATAAATCATCAATGTCGTTGAGATAGTCACCATGCTACCGTGGTGAATATGCATTATTACCTCACCTCCATCAAAATCATTTAGTACCCAGACGGTCAGGAATTTTAAGATAATTTCAACACAAGAAAATCTTCTTGAAAACTGAAAGTATCCCCTTACATGAAGTGAATTCCCACATGAGCACTTTGCTGAGGAGAGCCTCCTCGGGATAACAACGGCCCTTTACAAATAGTATGCAAAATGCTTTACATTACATTTTGCAGATCTGAGATAATGAAGTGAAATAAATAAAGAGCAGCACATGGCTAATCTGCATAAGACAGAGAGGAAACTCCCTTGGCTAGTGAGAGATGGTGGACTGCCTTTTGATTGGCTTGCGGGGAGGATTGGGGGGAATTCTATGCAGTCACACAGTCAAACTTGTGTGGCATGCCAGACAGAGCAGCGACACACTCACAAATCCTCACAGGCAGTGGTCAAATGTGCCTATTGCTCCAGTGTAACAAGTTATAATATGAAACAAAGACGTCTATCACTCTATAATTTGTTTACAGAGAGAATCAAAGATAACAAATAAGATGTTATGCAAATCGATTTTTAAAAAAACCAAACAATGATGATGAATGAATAGAGCAGCAGATGTTGTAAACATGAAACGACTGTAATTATGCCATAATGTGTCATTTTTGTCTAGTTTTGAGTCAAACAACACTAGTCTGCAACTTGTATACATTAATGCCGAGTGTAGTTCACAAACATGTTCCTTTTTAGGGAATCAAGCTACAGGGTATGTGATAGGACTGATTCTCATGCTGCCTTGGTGTCTGAACAAAGAGGGTTTTTTGTCTCATTTGGGGAAATATTTGCCAAAAGATCAAATTTAAAAGCACACGTTATTCATGGCCCAGTTTACTCCAACAATGTCTGATTTGTTGAAAGTGAAACAGGAGCAGTTCTGAGGAGTGAAAAAGCAATCCTTCTTGTGACCCTGTGATGAATTAATGGTGAACTTATCAGCAACTGTTGCCCTGCATCACATGTAATTAGTAATGGCCATGAGCAGCGGATGAGGAGCCAATCAGATTACAGCTAGCATGTCAACCAAAGACCAACTATCTCCTGGCTTTGACAGCAGGATTTTACCTCCACAATTCAAATCCCAGTGCAAACTGCAATCTGCAGCCACTCACTCATATGGCTGAGCTGACTGTTTACAGACAACATACAATGGGAAGCCAAGCAGCTTTGCTGCACAGGGAAAGTACTTTAATTAATATGTGACCAAAATGTAATAATTACCATCCTTCCCTAATATTTCGACAGGGCATTTAAATTATTTAAATTGAAGCTATATTAGCCATTTAACTAACCGTGTGAGGCTGATTCGGCATGCAACACATTCCTTCCGTGATAGCCACACAATTATAGCTTATCACACAAGAAAACAATATAAACGTGACCGTACACGAAACTATCTAAAAACGAATGTGTGAACACGTTATAATGTATACACACGTATACAATAAACCCATTAATACCACAATACGTTGTAAATTCAAGGTAAAACAAGCGTACAGACGCTATGGGAGAAAAAACGAGTCGTTGCTCTTCAGTGAGTATTTTCGCCCCTTTTCAAACTCGGGCCTTCTTCGCTCGATGAACGTCCTTACATCGTTTCAACAACTTATATCTTCATCAAGCGGCACTCTTGCATTGCTACATACCTTCATCGATATATCAAAAACAACAATTATTTAAACCGTGTGCTGTAAAAGGAAAAAAACACACACGAGAGGCAGCCATTTTAGAGTCTTTGCGAACTAGTAGCAGACAATGGCTGGCCTGCTACGTTGTAGCTAGGAGGAGGGAAGGAGACGTGCTAAAGCCCACACCGTGTTCCTGTAATAATGAGACTGTACCTGGCTTCTAGCGAGCGGCTGCCCTGCACTTCCCGGGCTCATAGGCGACGGGTGAAGGCTTCTTTGTTGCCAGCCCGGGTTGCTCCCTCCGTACAGCCCGCTGCTGGCCATGTCTGCTGGTCCCTTAGTAGCGCCCTCCTGGCTGCTGTAGTCGTTAGACGGGTAGTTTGGATAACCCCGCGTAGAGCTGGGGGAGGTCAGGAGCTTGTTGAGTGTCGGTGTGGATGTCGGTTGAGGGTTCCCAATGTTATATCTCTGATTACTGTAAGTTCCAGCCATTGCTGTTGGTGTTGGTCCTCCCGCGGGTGGCTGCTGCTTAACGTTAGCTGGCTGCCCCCCAGCTGTCGGCGCCTGGGTACTGCGAGGGGAGTTCATACCGTACGCTTGGCCCGGATAGGGAGTTCTGTTCGGAAACTGGTTATAATTGTTAAACTGGTGGTTGGAAAAGCCATGCTCGTGTGAATTAGGTTGATACGGCTCCATCATGTTGCTCGACTGAACGACCGGACCCGCAGCAGCTGCCATGCCAGGGCTTTGTTGTCCGCCATGTTGATGAAAAGGGGCCCGACCGTAGTGCTGACTATATCCGTACGAAGGAGGAGGAAACGCGGTGCCGTGATGATGCACCAAACCGGGATGGTTATTTCCCTCCGGTCCGACAGAGTCATTCTGGTTATTATTGTTAGCCCTGGGCGGGTTCCCATTCCCGTTCTTCATCTCAGGTTCCCCTCCTCCCCCTGCATTTCCACCGTCGGCCCCGTCCTGCAGATCCCCCCGGCCCGGCGATCCGCTGCCCAAGCCCGGCTGCTTTTTGTCTGACTGCTTATCTCCCGGTACCGAATCCTCCTTGGGGTCTCGATCCGGCTTTTTAAGTTCGGAAGGCGGGCTAGTGTTAAGAGTGGCGGCGCTGGCGACCTGAGCGGCCATGATATACCCCCCCACCCCACCTCTCTCTCCCTCTCTCGGCGAGTCAGTCACAATCAAAAGCTAGCATTGAATATAAATAATTGTTTATAACCATTTATCCTTGAGCCGATTCATTCCCACCCTCATACCGGACCGAATCCGGCTGCCATCCCGGTTCCGGTTCCGTAAATGGGTTAAGTATATGATGGACGCTCCATACAATGCGTAAAAAAGCGACAGAAATTGTTGTGGGAGTTGTGTTACTGAGTCCGGGTAGAGGCAGGGAGCAGACCCAACCAACACGAGGCTCCGCTACATACAGCCATTTTACTGAGCCGCACAGATGGCTGCAAGACATGGACTGGATCCGCTTCAATGCGGACTGGACTTTTTTCTTACCACCACATTGTCTTTTTCCCCCTAGGTGGAATATCTTCTTCACACGAAGATAGTCTAATGTTCACACAACTTACCAATGTACTGTTGCCAACATATAAGAACTATGTGCTCTAAACCAACCGTTCAGTACAACACAATCATATTACTAGTTTATCAGGGAAAGGGGGGACTAATACATTTAATATTATTTTACTTATGTGTGTTTTGCACGTATGTGAATGACACAGTTGCGAGTGTGAAGAGTTGTACAGTACTGCAAGATGGTTATTCAATGAAACAGGGAGTCTGGCTTCCACGCACACATACACATAGCCTACTAATTCATACTTGGGGGGGAAAAAGGGCAGTGATAGTCATATAAATGTATTAAAGCTCAGAAATCTGCCTTTGTACATTGTTGTTTATACTTGATTTCCACCAGTGATTCTGAGTGGTATTTAGGCAAGCAAAGGCAACACACACAGGTTTTTCCAGAGTAGAAGGAAGCCTTGCAGCAAACGAGACTACCAATGCACATTCCCTCTTCCTCCCTCCCTCCCCTGCCTGCTCTGCTCTCCTCTACCACCCCCTCTCCTCTCTGTCTGTCTCTCACTCCAGCAGAAACACTCCTCTGCTGAGTGTGGGGGGATGGGTGCTCACAGGCTCTCTCACCCTACTAACATTGAACTACGCGGTACAGGGAAAGAAAAAAAACTAGACCCTATCTACCAGACAGAGGATGCATGAACAGTTTCAAAGTCTCCCCAACAATTAGAAAAATTGAGTATTGAGGATTGAATTGTCCGCCGCCTCTCCTCAGTCAAATGAAGCAGACATTTTTGGCATCCACAAAATGCACAGGGTGTGTGCACAGCATTGAGAAGGGGGTGGTAATGACAAGTGTGTGTGTGTGTGTGTGTACTTTTGTGTGCTATGCTGAGGGAGTTGTTATTTTATTTTTTTAATGCAAATGTATTTTAAGGGTTTTAAGACATGTTTTCCTTCGATTGGTTGTTGATTAAAATTCAGATTCTGGGTTTAAGTGGGACGAGGTTGCCTTTTTGGTTTATGTTCTCACTCTCTGCACACACGCGCACACGCACACAAACTGCCTCTCGCTCACACACAAACACACAAACTGCCTCTAACACGCACACACTGCCTCTCTCGCTCACACACACAAACTGTCTCTCTCGCTCTCTCTCACACACATGCACTCGCACACACATCTACCTCTAGGGGGGAAAAGGCAGGAAGTAGCAGTGGGAAGTAGCAGTGAGCAGGCATACTTGATCACATGTACAAACATTGGAACACAATTTAACATTCTGCCTGACACACCCCCTCATCCACTGCGAGCAGAGAGCTTTGCAGGCACATATTTTTTTTTCACAGCCACCACATCATACCATACAGGGTTAATGTGATTTCCCACATCAGTGCGAGCTTGCAAAGGGGATCACGCTTTATTTCAGAGTGAATACAGCAGTGCATGAGAAGTACATTCACTCTGACACGAAGCCCCTTGTTTAATGTTTGTATGAGTGTCTAGACTTTTGAATTTTAATGTTAATGAGGTACATTCATTAATGCGGATGTTGGGTTTTTTAACTGGGTTTCACAGTAAAGACAGAGTATAAGGGCAGCAGTGGAAACAAAGTCATCTCCCAAGTTAAAAAGAGAGTTTTAGTTAGCTTTTTTAGAAAGACAGTCTTCCATCGCAGGGACCAGACACAGGGCCAGTTGTGCAGAAACAGATTTAATGTAGCTTCCTCTCCCCGCCTGACTTAATTTTTCTGCTCTGGCAGCAGGGAACATTTGGAGCAGACTTTAAAGGATCTGGGAAGAGGATTCGCAAGCTCATGTGCCATCTGCTGGACAAAAGAGAGGGCCTACATACAAGCACTTGCTCTTGGCCAAAGTCATTTCTACTTCTGATGTGTTGGCAATGTTTCTGACTCGTCTTTGTTATAAATTGCTTCTTGAGCATTAGTTAAGCAGTCATGTTATTTGTATCTGAGGCACTGCTGATTGTCAACTTCCATTATATTCCTCTCCATATCAAGGGGATTTTCTACTCTGTATCTTTCTGTCAGATGTACTCAACACTAATAAATGCACATGACAGGAGGAAAGTCAAAATCTTCAGGATTATCTTTGCCATACTTCTTTAATTCAAAAACAGAACCCACTTGATGCACAAATAAGCTCAAATAACCATCGAGTAGTAACAACATGAATCTTTTATTTTCATCCAATCCCCATAGAGAAGACACAAAAAATGCAGTCACCTTGACTGACCCATGATGCTTAGCCATTGACATTTGACCTGTGCTCTTAAAATAATGGTGAACATAAACATCTAACAAAACTAAACTTAAATGAGTGCTGTTGCATTTGTTACATTTTGAGAAAATGTATTGGCATAAATTGGAGATGAACCCCTTTCGATGATAACTGAAGAAAAGCTCTTCATTTACCCTACTCAGCTGTCCTCATTGCGAATTGTATGACGTGTGGTGCAACCTTGAAGCATCGACAGCACCTAAATGTAGTTCCTATCTCTTCTTCGCTTTCGCAGAGAGGCTCTGAATTCAGGCCAAGTTAGATGGATGTTGCCAAGACTCCCCTTGTATACTGAAGCTAAACAGTCAAAAAACAGTTTTTTCCTTTTCTCTGGGTTTTTCAATTTACAGATCCATCATTTCCTCCTCCAGAGTCTTTCCACTGGTTTCGACATAGCGCTCTTGCACTCCAAGAGTACTGAAGAACTGTTAAGGAAAACATTGAAAGACGTACATTTTACAAGTATATTTTTAAGATAAAGGTTACCCTTAGCAAAATCCATTGAAAATCATTAGTCTTTTTACGATCTCCTGCAAATTTCAAGGTTTGTCTTTAAAACACATGAGTCACAGTGAGTCACCATAGCGATTAGAAAAGGATACGAGTCGAACTGGAAGTCTGCCCCCACAGCAGCTGACATCATGGCCTGCAGATTCCTCTCCTCCAGGTCTCCAAAGCAGTAGCCATTGGCTTTGTCCACAGTCCGTAAGACCTGAATCATGCTCTCTCTGTCCTGGAAATGAAAGAGGAAAAGAATGTGAGATCGGGGTTTTTCCCTTGACAAATTCCCTGAAACTGCCAGATGGCTTAAGATTTGCTGAAAAAACTCTCACCAAAACCTTGATAATTTGCTGTTTAATTATATTCATGGTTTCTGAATAATCTGTATAAAAATGTATATAAAATTAGTGTGGGATTTAACTTGCTTCATATGTCCTTATTCTCTTCTCCTATTGTTTTTCTACCAGGCAGATCTACTGGAGGAGCAGACTGCAGGCAGCTCTTTCCTTGGAAAAAGATGTTGAAACCCCCTCAGAAATGTAGCAGTGCAGCCCGTTCAGCCTTGCAGTATGTTTATCAATGCTCAGTATTTGGTGATAAGCTACACATGAATACAAAGCCATAAAATCCCAAACTTCCTCTGCTGCTCAGAGTTCAGCATCTAGTCCCTGTCAAGGTCAAACGTGTTGTGTCTTTGTTCTTTTAAATTTGCTCTCTTAAAGTACCCTTGGTAACCACGGTTACCAGTGGCTGCTCAACTTAAAGGGGGTAGAAAAACGTAGAAACACATCAAGGCTGCGTTCTCACCACTGTGGAAAAAAGACTGCCAACCTGCCATTTGTATAATTACTCGTCCCATAGGCAGAAATGGCACAGCGGTCTAGACTCATCACACAGGATCATATCAGTCTCCATGAAAACATAATGGCAGGGAACGAATACAGTGTGCAGACAGCCCACTCCCTTTCAACAGCCCAATCCATCTGCAGGACATTGATCCACTGCTCAATTTTCAACTGCTAAAAATGATTTATGATGAACCTGTTGGAACAATGAAATATGCCATGAGTGATTTTTTAAGATGTTTTGAAAAGGGAGTCATCTTTACACTTGGGAATAAATGTTGGAGTTTAACATGTTTGGGCTGGTTATACTTAATAATATATATATTCAGTGGGTACTAAAACATCCCTGTACAAATATAATGAAGGAATTCTTAAATGCTATCCACTCAACATCTCTCACGGCTTTGCATAATTTCAAAAAAAAAAAAAAACCCTGAGACAAAGGGTTTCAAATTAACTTACACTCAAAACATGGAAAGACTCAATGGCTAAAAAAAGGTTTAACTAAACTTGTAATCTTTCATCCTGTTATTCTTTGCCAAACACAGATAAGCTTCAAGGCCTTATTTCTGTGTGTGTGCCATATTTTGTACAGCTGTTCAGGCTACTTGTGAGTTTGGATTAAGCTCATAGCAGACTTGACATTTGTTATCAATTAGCAATTACATTAGTAGCAGATTGCAATATACAGTGGCTCTGTTCATTTTTCTTTCAGCAAAAACATCCCTGATCAGAAACAGAGCGATGTTTTTCTTTTGTTGGCGTTACAAAATGGCTGCAGATCATGCATACAACTTGATCCGTTACAGAAAATATTACCTACATATTAGTCACATTATAAACCTATATGAATAACATTGAATTAATTCTAATTTAGAAGGTTGATGACAGCCATGTACATTTAACCCCTAGATTAGCATCAACAGCCCAATCCTTTTTTTAAATTAAGGGAAGCCCCAGGAATTCAACTTTTAATGACTGAATCATGTAAGTATATATATATATATGGGCATATTGGCTTGCATATTCCAGCAGTCGTTTGAAATACATTGAGACTCAGTGTCATGCTTGCTTATAGATAACAAACAAGAAACCATTTAAAACAGTCAAGGATAATACCTGCACATTGAGAGGCACAAAGGAGACAAGGCTGTAATCTTGTATGACTTCTGCCAACTTTTCATTAAGACGATGGAATTTCTTAAAGAAGGGGTCTGCAGCCAGGTGATCGAGAAGATATGTCAAATCCATGACCTCTGTGTAGAAGTCAAGGTTGAAAGCTGTGTAAGAACAGACAGGAAAAATGTTAAAATGGTGAATTAAATGACCACATAAATATGTTTCTGACAAAGTTGCTTGTTTATTTCTAAGAAATATAAGAATACTGGGCCTTTATTTGTAATATTTTTTGAGTGTGTTAGAATTTTGTTTTTGTTTAAGGTAAAGCCAAAAGCCCTTAACTTACCCAGTTTGCCATACTGCTCAATCAAGTCCATCTTGGAGAGGATGTTGACGTGGGGAAGCTCCACGTGCAGCATGGTGGACAGGGAGGTGCAAAGCACAGAGATGAACTTTGCCGGGTCAGCGCAGTAGTGAGAGTCCACAAGGTGCACTGAAGTGAGCTGAAAAAAGGGAGAAGGTGGTCGAGAACTTGTATCAGGATTCAATACAATCATGACAATCAGCACTGCTCCCAGTAATCTGCACATACCAACACTGACAATTCCCCTTTGCAGTAACAATTTATACCAAACTGTGATATATCAACATTTCCTACATGTGTAAAAATGTGAATCCAATCATGAACTTATATTTAGCTTTTTTACTTCTTTTTTTAATGATGATTCTTGTTGTGGCACTATCCCCTGTGGCACTGAAACACTGCAGTATCTCAGCTCTGGGACTAATTAAAGGTTATCATAACTATTATCTTAACATATTGTATATACATGATGACAGTATAGAGTAGATAAAGCATCAGTGTAAGAATGAGGTGAAATAACCCTGAATGTTTAAGAAGCTCACCCTGAAGTTCCACTTGGCGAGCTGTGAGAATATATTCTTTACTGAACTCTGGTGTGTGTAGAGCTCCACTTGTCCTGGACAGTCAAACAGGAAGTAACAGTCACTGTGCTCTTTCAGCTTGTTCTCTAACCAGTCCAGATTTGCTTCTACATACTCCATACAGTAGAGGAGCCCACCGTTGGGCCCGAGCTTCATGCTCTCCATCACATCGTCCAAAGTGACCAGCTCTGAGATGTTCACCGCACAAGAGTACGGTAGTGTTTCGTTGGCAGGGTCCATGTTCACCACAACCACCTTGCGTCCCAGGCTAGTCAGGAATTCCTGCATTCCTCGACAGTAGGTGGTTTTTCCAGAGCCTGCGGGTCCAATCACCACCTGGCCGAAGCGCAGGGAGGGCTTTACTCCTGTATGGCTTGACATGGTTTCAGTTACCCAAGGATTGGAGAGAATCACATAAGATGGGGCCAGAAGTCAGAGGTCCATATGGGATGTCCTACTGGGTGTCAGCATCCAGGTTCTTACCTGCAGGGTCACATCAGTCAGTGTGAGATCATTAGCATGCAAAAGGATAGACAAAATGACATAACAGGTTACTTTACTAATTGCTGTAAAGCTATATAGTCAAAGAGATGTAACACATTGTAATCCCTGTTGACTTTGTTTACATAATGGGATGTCACACATCCTGCAACTTCAATGGGCAAAAACTTAATTGAACGAGATCAGCATAATTTTTGGCTTGAAGTGAGCTACACATAAATTGGGGATATATATATATCTAAAACCTAAAAAAGTTACGGGGTTCTTTGTCATACTTAGCCAAACAGGGTTAAGGTGAACGATATATAAACAATTGCAACATCACACTCCAGATAACTTAACAGTAAAGTTATTAAATACAAACTGCAAACTGTAGCTAATTTGAAGTGTATGTGTGAGCATATGGCTGTCTGACTGAAGTGGAGTACCTTTTCTGTTACGACATTGTGGACTTTGTTTATAAATGGAATAAGTATGGATAGATATTTACCGTCTGCTGCCGTTGTGTTTGCAAGCATCGAGCGGCAGCTAGCTAACTGGCTAAAAAAACTCTGAAGTACATCCGGGTCACGTGCGAGGTTTCAAAATAAAAGCAATATTTTTTATTTGAAAGGGATTCTACATTTACCCTTGCGCAGTGGTGGAAATGAACTAAGTACATTTACTTGAGTTATTCTGCAGTACTTGTACTTTACTTGAGTATTTAGATGTATGCGTCTTTATACTTCAATTCCACAGAGGCAAACGTTGCACTTTCTATCCTCCACTACATCATTTTTAATCTGACAACTTTAGTAACAATTACTTTTACTTTGGTACTTCCAATATATGTATTGATACTCATACTTTTGTACTTCTACTTAAGTAATTTTTTTTTATTTGCAATGGATTAATTCTACACTGCAGTATTGCTGCTTTTATATAAAAAGACTACTTTTTCCAATCACTGCCTATTGGATAGCGGTTTTTATATTTCAGCCTAAAACATATGTAACATTATTAATACATTTCATACATATGTGAGGCATTAACATAGGAACAACATTTTGTTCGTGATTAAGACAGTAATTTGAGGAATTATATAATAATATAAAAAGACAAAATCACCACAAATGTAATGAAAGGTTTGAAAAATGTTTTATTAAAACAGTCCGACAAGTAAATAGGTAAAAAATCTATAGAAAAATAAAAAAGTTGTCATCTTCGGGGTCCAATGACACCACCTGGCTGCCAGCCTCTGTACTTCATACTAGTGATTGGTTGACGTCTCAGCAAGGTGTCGCCTCCATCAATGTTTTTAGGTTTGTCATAGACTGTACTTATATGAAGATCTGTTTTGGCCTTTTTCACGGGATTCAAGAACAATTTCTCACCATGATACCTGCAGGGAAAAAACATATCTTGACTTCAGGAGAGCACTACAAACAGTACATACTCATTGACATACCAAAACATGCCACATGCAGTTATTTTGTTTGATTCAGTTTTCATGTTCATACGCACCCAAAGCCCCTTTTACAATAGGGATGTTGTCCGTCACTTTCAAGAGCGTCAGGAATCCCAATCTGACTGTTTCCCAACCCATCACCATCCTTCCAGCCTTGTTTTTCCATCAAACGACGGCCAAAGCCCTAAAAAGTAAAACAATATTCTGAAAACTGTTCATATAAGCTATGGTTAAAGAGATGGAGTAAGTTAAAGGCCACATCCTTACCCTAGTGTACTTCTCAAAGCTGCCAATGGATTGACTCTCTCCAGATCTTTTTTCAAGACCCTCCCTCAGCCTTTTTTCATACCTCATCCGGACATAGTCACGGGCATCCATGTCACCTCCATCTGCGAGAGAAAGACCTTGGTTAAAGAAAATCTGATCCTGCATAGGTAATCTGGCTTCAATGTTACCGCAGATGTAAAACAAACTTGAAATACCTTTATCATAGTACACACTCATGTCGACATCCCAGTCATCGGTCGTTTGTTCATCAAAATCTGAAAACGGAACAAAAAGAAGGAAAAAATGTTATTGATATCTCCTCTAGCAAATAACTTCATTTTAAAGGACAAAAAACAAATACATTTATCTTATGATTCAATTTAGATAAAAATACATTTAAAATATATCTGTAGAAATAGACAACACTTTCAGATTTAAACTAAACAACACCAGCCATATTATTTTATATTCAAGAGGTATATATCAAGAGTTTTTCCTAGTATGTTAGTGTTGCAAACCTCCTTCTTCCTCCTGCCAGAACTGGGCATCAGTGTAGAAAACCAGGCCTGAGCCGCCCTTTTCCCACTTCAGCTCGATCCTCTCCTCAAACAGCCTCTCTTTGCTTCGCTCCTGGCTCGTGACATCCTCATGCAAAGCTTCATGGCGTTCCCACTCCTCACACCAGTCATCATCCTACAACCAACAACATGTCAAATTGTCAAACAGCAGTCAAGGCATGATGATTTTTCATGTATACTTGACATAAACATAATGATATATGGATTCAAACCCACATCATCTGCATTTGAATGTGCATCCTCTTCTTCTTCCTGTGGCTCATCAGTCTCTGTTTGTGTGCGGTCAGCCAGCAGCCTCCGTCCTAGGTATGGAGCAGTATAAGTTCCTGGTCCTGAGATTTCATGTCCATCAGCTGTGAATATAGTCTCCTCTGTGGCTGGAAGTGTCCAACTGTCCTTATACTGGAAAGGTACATTGCCGTACCGGCGGTTGGAGCCAGTCTTGGGGAAAGTGAGGCCCAACTTCCGGATAAGTCTCGGAGGCAGTCTGCAGGACTGGATGAGCTGAAGGAAGACTTTCACCGGTGTGCCCACATTGCCATTCTGCATCAGAGCTGGTGGATTCAGCTCGGATAAACTCTTGAGGTCAGCTTCTGTGAAACGCTCTGTTAAGGACACTCGATGGCGCTGCTCGTGCTTCGATTTATAGGGGAATGAGCCATCATCTGGAAAAGGAAAACAAATTAAATGGAGAACTACCTTTGAAATAAATCTCTAAATAATTTTCGTGGTTTAAAATGACAGGACTCTTAATGTAATCTTCAAGTCACTATACCGTTTTTTATTATTAAAACATAAAGGTCCCCTTTAATATGGCACAACAGAAATATGTCTAATCCAGACAAAACGAGGAGTGATCTGTTTGTATGGGAAGCTAATAAAATGAGCCTGCCTTTATTTAAACTATGTATGAAATATGTTGATCACTAACCTTTGTCGTGTGAAACCTTTACTCTTTTAACAACACAGCGTCTAGCCAGCCAGTTCCCCTTGGAGTTAATCCAGTGATTCCCCGCATACATCTTGATCAATCTGTCGGCATCTTTAGCATGAAGTGAGACTATACAGCAGCAGGACTTCACCGTCTGCTTCTTCACGGCGCTGTTTTCTGTCACGGCGCTATTTTCTGTCACGGAGCTGTTAACTGTCACGGAGATGTTATCTGTCACGGAGCTGTTTTCTGTCACGGCGCTGTTTCTTGCAACTGAGCTGATGTCTTTGCCCTCTTCACCTTCTCCACACACGGGTTTTTTGGGGTTTTCGGACCCCTCGGACTCCCTGAGAAGTTCCGGTCGATGTCGATAGTGAAAACACTGAAAACCTCCGCTCTCTATAAACTGACTGAAATAATTTCTGAGGTCCGCGGAGTGAAAGGCAACAGGAATGTTACCAATTGCTAAATACACAGGAGCTACCGCTACAGAGTCCGCCATCTTTGTTTCTTTTTTGGACGTTAAACATCATCTTCTTCTTCTTCTTCTTCTTCTTCTTTCATGTTTATTGGCGGTTGGCAAACCAAGTTGTAGGTGCATTACCGCCACCAACTGGACTGGAGTGTGGACAAGAGACTAAGCAGAAAACAATAAACAAAACAAACAAAACAAAACAAAGAACAAAAACTCTAGATTATTTTAAATTTATCAATTTCTCTTAGAAACTTAATAATCTCACAATATATATTGCCTGATGTTTTCCCTAACAGTCCAGATAGCGACAAGTCATGGAATTTTGCTTTCTTCAGTGTCTGGAAAAACACATTTTTCTGAGTACTATATTTCCTGCAAAGAAGTAAAACATGCTCAACAGTTTCTGGCTGGCTACAGTGTATACACTTTCCGGTTGGATGCTTTCCTATTATACTTAATCTATGATTGAGACCTGTATGACCTATTCTTATCCGAGAAATGACATTTTCCTCCCTTCTTTTAAACCCCACCTTCCTTCCATCCCCCACATACCTTTGAATTTTATAAAGATGTCTTCCTGTATCACTAAGGTCCCAATGATCTTGCCATGTTGTTTGTGCATATTTCTGTATGAATTTTTTAACCTCCGCTTTACTGAGTGGAACTTCTATGTCTATCCACACCAACATGGGCAGGAACCCAGATGAAACGAGTTGCTTTGCCTTTGATTTGCATTTTATATAAAATTTGATATATTTCATTTATTATGTCCATTCTAGATGAAGATCTACCTGATTGTATACTCGATAATGCTGAAAAGCTGTCAGATGCAATTACACTATTATGTATTTCTTTCTCCTCTATCCATTTCAATGACAGTACCAATGACGTTAAACATCAACAGATAGGAACGGTAATGACGTCAGTTCCGCTTCCTGAGAACATTTAAAAGTTTGCATCAGGGGTGGACCGGGGTGGACTGGGTGGACATATAAAATAGTAAAAAAAAAGTTACATATTTCAGATTCAATATTTGTTAAATTCACAATTACTTTTGATTCATAATGTTGTAATAGTGCAACTATATTGTTTTAATTCTTTGTAAACATTTAAAAAAAAAAAGAAAGTGGTTTGGCATCAGCCCATCTCTTTTTATGAATATGAAATTACCCTAAAAAATAAAATCTACTTTACAAAACAACCAAAAATCTGTGTCAATATTATACTATCACCTTTGAAGTATGTAAACATTTCTCTACAAAGCTACTTCACAATATATATTGTATGTATGACCAGGTCCCTTATTTTAAAGATGAGTTATATTTAGAAATAAACTACATATTGTCGATATTGTAACAGTCTTTTAATGTCTTTTTTACTCTCACTATTATTATGTGTATTTCTGTTATATTAGTGATGGAAGAAATACTAATTTACTCAAGCAAAATGAGTTACATTCAAGTATTCATTTTTCAAGTATTCAGTATTCATAAAAATAGTTTAAACATTCCTTTTATAAAGTGAGAGTCCTGCATTTAAATGCAGAATGTAGGCCTATGATTTCAGAATAATACATAAAATATCACTGAATTATAAATAAGTGTGCATTGATTTAAAGTGGGGGGAAATAGCCCCATGCAGCTTGCAAAGGTATGGGGATTCATTTCAACGTTATATACTGCTGGGTAGCTTAATTCATAATATTCATCATAAATGTTTTGTTAATTTAGACATTGTATAATGAATGTGATTCTGCAACTAATGTTGGCAAAACAATTACATATGAAAATATTTGGTAAATACTTCAATAAAACACAAGTACCTAAAAACTGTACTTGCACTTACTTATTGAGTTCTCTAGTACAGGTCATTTTCATACATTTAACAGAAAAGAGAAAGTGTGGAGGTTTATATGAAAAGGTAAAGATAGAATAATCACTATGTCCATGCTCATACATAGTAGCGTGGACTATTTTTATCTTTCATTAAAATATGTTATATTTACTATCAAATCACATATCCTAAATAATAAATAATGAAATCCATCTCTTATAGTTTGACTGTATGTGTATTGAGGTTTCTTTATCTGACATTCACCTGATTTCACGTGAAAGGGCCAGTGATATACTTTCATAAAACCAAAGGAAAAACAAAACACTCTTTTTACAAAGGGAATGAAATAGGAGTAAAATCTCTTTTAAGAGAGATCCCTCTTCTTTGACAGCTAGGGGTATTCACAAAAAAGAAACATAAAGTAATAACAACCATTTTTAAGAGCAGAACAGTGATAATGATGACATTTTAACTTTAAAGCTTTACATATCCATTTTAGATGTATAGGTAACATTATAGAATATTAGTAGAGTAACTAGTGGAAGACATGCTATAACTTTCAGGAAAAATATTAAAGTCTTTCCCATTACTGCCCAACTTTTTTCAGAGACAACGAAAAAAATGATTCAGTCAGAGTTCATCAACCTGAAGCCTACGCTGCCTCTGGCCTTCACCTCAGCTTTTATCATTGTGTGTTTTGATAGTAATAGGCAGTAAAACTAGAACCGTGTGTGTCTGGACCCTGACTCAACATTACACTTGCCACATACATATTGTGTATTAACCATTATGGCTTTTGGAGCCATAATACTCACAAGTGTCACATCTGTTGGGAATTATTGATGAAAAAACCTGACAACACCAACATAACTTTACAGATAATATACATATTTTACAGGAGAAATAGAAGCTAAATGTTACTTCTTAGGTTTATTATCTATCAAATTGAAGAATTGTAAATTACCGAAGGAATCTTTGGACAGGAAAACCCTCAAAAGGCCCTGCTGTGTCCAGTTTATTTCTGCTGTGTCCTGTTAGGCCCTCCGAGTGTCACAAATAGATACACCAAATATCCATCTGTGGTATAAAATTAAATAAAGTAATATTGAGGCTGAAAGACATACCAGAAAATCTGAAAGGATGAGTCACCATTTATAAATGAAAGATACAGCTTTACTCTTAAAGTTTCTTTTATTCTGGTATCAGTAACAATACTTTTTTTAATACTTTGTACACATTGGCGAATATAAAATATAAATTTTTTGTTTTAATTAGACAAAAGACCTTCTCAATTCCTTCCATATTAAATATCGGAACTTATAAATGAAACAAAGTGCAAACATATAATTATTAAGGAAACGTCTAAACAAAGGATAACTAAACACTACTTATAAATGTATTCAATGCCAGCTTTTGGTTTTGTATTACTCTCAGCTATAATAAAAACTCTTAGTCAGCCTTGAAACCATCTTTGTGACCAAAGATTTTTCTATTTTTAAAAACATAACCTCTTGGTCAGGACCCAAAAAGTATTGGAGTTTAGCGTTATGTTGGTTTAGTAGGTTTGCTTTTCCAGGTATTACCATGTCAACATCAGTGCAAAAGTTAGGTAATTCATTGCAAAAAAAAAAGGGAAAAGAAAGGAGAGAGAGGGATTGCAAATAAAAACAAAATATCCATAATGATCAAAAACAGAACGGCACTATTGTTTTATTGTGTTGAAGTCTCAAAAGTTTGTAAAATTAGACATTGATCAGTGTTGACTTTGATTTCTCCAGTATCAAAAGGTAAATGTTTATTTCAACTCATGAATTTTGTTTTTATCAAGAAAATTATTCAAACTGAATGTTTTGAAAATGTATGTGCAGCATATTGCATCTGGAAATGTACTGTTTACAGTACATAGTGGTCTAGTAAGTAAATATCATATTTAAATATACGTATATACAGATGTATTACTTTCATTGTGAACCTGAAATAACTGTATAAGAGCAAACTAAATTCCACAAATTTCAAATTCCAGGATGATCTTAATATTTTTCCCCATGGATTGCAAATGACCCATGCGGAGTAACTGTGACCTTTGTGTTGCTGACCTTATGAACACAGAGCCAGGTGAATGTACCTCTGCTGTATTAGGTCAAGGCTAAATGTAATGTACCCAACATAGTGTCAGTCCAGCTCTGAGAGTTCATTGACCTGGGAAAACTAAAGCCAGAGAAGAGGCAAACTGTGTTGCTATACTGGCACAATTACCTTAGTTGTGCTATTATTTATTTAACTTGAAAACGATATTACAGGCAATTTTCTTTATACATTTTGAGTCAATGATAATTTAGAAAAAAGGCCTGGACATCTTTAAGTGTAATTTCATCATGCTTTATCAGACCTGCACTGTTTTGTTTGCTTCAACTCAGAATACAGCAGTTTTTCCATTTATAGAATGAAGGACATTTTATTTTTACTGTCTCGGTGAAGATAAGAGTCTGTCCTCCGTGTCCGTCTCTGCCTGCTCCTAACCTCTATAAACGCGAGCCTTATCTCAAGCATTTACGACTGTAGGCCTACTTCATCAAGCCTGAGGGTTTTTCTGAGTGCATTACAGGTCACTGAAAACTAAAAGGATCACATTCTTGTAGATAACGCAGTTGGTTTTGTCATGCATTCAAAGCTGAGGTCCATTACGTTACAGACATGTCACGTACTACATTAATAATCACTGCATCGTAATGAGATCACTTCAGGAGAGTAATCGAGGCTATAACATTCTGGAGTATTCTCTGAGGGATGAGTAAGGTACTGATGAAGTAAAACAAACATTCGGTGACTGGTGCTGCCAGTAGTGTCTGGCTTGTAATGTCTTTATTGCAGTTAGTCACTTTATGAACTGACCTTGAACCCTCTGCGCTGTGGTTCACATCCTTCTCTGAAACTTCCATAATGATGCCTCCAGGCTGCTGGGCTTGTGACCGTCCCCACAAAATTATAGAGCATAATATGTTATATATTGGGTCACATGTCACTCTACAATTGAGCGTTCCCTAAGCTGGTCCATGGTACTAAATGTCAAATTGAAAGAAGCTTGTCATTAAAAATTAGAAGTCTGTTTATTTGTGAAAACAATAAAGTAATTAGCTTATCAGCCTCAAGCCTCCGTTCCAGGCACAAGGGAGATAACGTAATAGAGTAAACTCATTTAAATGACAGGTGGAACATTTTACCGCCGGTTACAAATGTCACAAACTGGAATCCCCCAACTTTAATTGAGTCAGGATAAAAACAGCATCTATCTGATATTATTATAGGATCCCGCCAAATGATAAAGCCCTTAAAATACGCAATTTTGTCCACCACTGACTGACTGAAATATCTCAGCGTTGTCCTGAAACTCATCTCAGTATCGATCGTTCTGACTTTGGGGATCCCCTGACACTTTTTTAATTTTTTTAATGAAATGTCTTAAACACTATTATAGATAGATTACCATTACATTTTGGAAACACACCCATGTCCCCCTCAGACTGAATTGCAAAAATCGTAATCTTTTTTTAGATTCTAGAGTCGTTATCATGTCCAATCTTCAATTTGACTTTCCCCTCAGCCTCAATTGTGCTTTGTACTGATGATAACTAGTAAATGTTAGCATGCAAACATGCTTAACTTAAAAAAGTGAATATTGTAAACATTACACTTGCTTAGCATCCGTAGATTACGATTACAATTGTAAACATGTTTGAATGATGGAGTTAGTATTAAAGCATCACTGTGTACAGCCTCAATGAGCAGTTAGCATGCAGAACTTGTTTAACTTCATTATCCAACCTTTTATGAGTAAATAACCTTTTAGATATCATAAATGGAGAATTAGCTGAATAGATATCAGATTTTCTTGGTTTCTGGGTTTTAGCAAAAATACAATTAGCATTTCTAAAATCCTGGCTTTGGATCTCTAGAGCTGTTTGGTATAAGTCGTGTTTGTTCATTTGAATTGGGTTAGTTTAAATCAAAGGTAAAAGGGCAGTTTTAGAATGCCAATAAAGCTTTTAGAAAATTACAAGATACATTTATTTGAAAAAAGGACTTTCTACACCTCATGAGGACCTAATTTGTAGGTCAATGCCCCCGCTCTGCTTTGGCCTCCTTCCAGCTCCCAGGTGTGAGCTGGCAGGGTGCAGGGACACGGCGTTGCGCTGATTACCCGTGCAGTCCTTGGTAGCTTGGTACTGCCTGGGTTAATGACACTGGTTACAAGATAAGGCCCTACCCTGCTGTTGATATCCAGGCATTACTCTAGCAGCTCCTTTTCATTGAGAAAAGCTTATCGGTTTCCCAGGGTTATGCCATCAGTCATCTGGCAGAGCACATGGTTTTTTTTCAGAGTATATTGACAAGTCAAGGTCCGCCTAGTAGGCTGGGTCGGTCCTATAAATACGAGGGACACTGGAAGATGCAGTACTCAAAAGCTCTTGGAGAGCCCATCATTTGAGAGGTCTCTTACAATTTAACTACACAGATCTCAATCAATCAAAGACAAAATGGATAGCATGTGTCATTGTGCACCCAGCAGCGACAGGTTTTCGAACCCTATCCTGTACAACATCCTGAGCCAAATGGATAACAGCAAGCCAAAACAAAACTGCTTAAACTACAATTCAATACCCCACCGATGCAACTGTGAGCTGCGAAGGACAGTGTGCTTGAAAAGACCCTCCGAGGTCTGCAAAGAAGCGTCAGCAGTTCTGGTTAAGACTGTCCATTTCATGAAGAACTTACCTGCTTTTAACCAGATGCCACCAAATGACCAGTTCATACTTCTCAAAAGCTGCTGGGCACCGCTCTTCATCCTGGGTCTGGCCCAGGAGCAAGTGAACTTTGAGGTGACAGACACACCTGCTGACAGCATGCTGAAAAGGATTCTCCTAAACCGCCAGGAGAGCCCCGATATGGAGAGGAAGCAACCCACCATGTCTGGGGTCAGCAAACTTAGATCCTGTCTTAAAAAGTTTTGGAGTTTGGATTTGAGTCCAAAGGAGTATGCATACCTCAAAGGGACCACGATATTCAATCCAGGTATGAATTCATCTGTATTTATTAAATTAAATACAAATACTTAGTTCCCAGGAGTAAGATAACTGCTTTATACATGTCTGTGACAGTGTCTAATTTTCGGTCTTTACTTTCAACAGATGTTCCATATTTAAAGGCAGCTGTGTTTGTGGAAGGCTTGCAGCAGGAGGCTCAGCACGCCCTCAGTGCGATGGTCCAGCTCCTTCACCCAGGGGACCAGGAGCGCTTTGCTCGGATCCTCCTCACAGCCTCCATGCTGCAGAGCATCACACCCAGCCTCATCACTGAACTCTTCTTCCGGCCCGTGATAGGCCAGGCTGATCTGCTGGAGCTGTTGGTGGACATGCTCTTCTGCAGATAGACCAGGACAGGTGTACTGAAGAAAGTTGAATCCAATGGTCTTAACAGTGTTGATGCAGGACTTCTCGCTGACCAACCTGAACAATGTTTCCTCATAAAATGACGGAATTTTTTACAGCGGACTACTAAAAAAAAGCAATTACAACACTACTGTCAATTGGTGAATATTAATTGCTTGTGTTGCATTGAAGCTCAGGTCACTTTAGCCTAGTCGGAAAATCTGTTATCCACTGAAGTTGAAAGGCAGAATTTTTACAAAAAGAGAGACTGTACCCACTGTTCATATTCTGCTTCTTATGTGGAAGATATTTTCTACTTGCCTTAATGTTGTAAATAAGTCTGCATATACAGAACATTTCTAATAAATATATTTTTGTAAATGAACATTACAGTGATGTTTTGCATAAGTCTTTTAAATCCTCACAGCAAGCCACACTATTTGTATGTACAAGACTTACAGATCAATACCGACATGTTGTGGAAGAGTGCTCAAGTCCCTTTATTTTAAGTTCTTGTCAAGGCCTGAAAGCAAACGTGTCATCGTGGATTTCCTAGAATTAAACAAAAAAGACTAATATGGGTGATTATGGGTTTCAGAAAACCATTTCACTCATTTGTGATGAATCTTAAATAAAGCATACCTACTTAGAAATTAACATATTGTAATACAGTATGTCTGGTTATCATTTGTGGAAAAAGTACTCAGATTTTGTACTTGAGTAAACGTAGAAGTACCAGAGGGAATACTCTGTTACAGGTAAAAGTCCTGCATTCAAAAATGTTACTCAAGTAAAAGTATTAGCATCAAATATAATTAAAGTACCAAAAGTAAAAGTACTCATTATGCAGTTCGGTCCATTTCAGAATAATATATATGATATGTTTTATAATTATTGATCATTAAAGTGTTATCAAAGCTGGTAAAGGTGCAGCTAGTTTTAATGACTTTGTATACTGCAGGGTAGGTTGTGAATGTACTCCAGGTTTAACTAAAGTCTTATTTAAGTGTTGATTATATTTCACATCATTAATCCAAATCTGTAAAGTAAGTTAAGGTATTAAATAATTGTAGTGGAATATCAGTACAAAGTAGCACAACATTGAAATACTCAAGTAAAGTACAAGTATCTTCTTAATCTGGTTATTTTCTTAATCTAAATTGTAGGCATCTTTAAAATAGTAAGGTGACACTGAGAATGTAGCTCATACTCGGTTGGTATTGCTTAAACTCAAATTAAGAAACCACATCTGATTCATGCATGATGTGTTCTCCTTCTCGTTTTACCAGATTGTCCTGAAACCAAACTGTGAGTTCAACATATCAGTGGTGAGTATCTTTCTCTCGAGGGGAGACTTTAAAAACACGTGATTACAACTTTTCACAGAGCTCAATTGACTTATATATTATATATATTCAGGAAAGTAAGCCCCCTTTGTATGTTAGGTACTTTGTCTCCCTCTCATGGTAAAAAGTGGACTTCTCATGTTACTATGAAAGGCTATGATCACAAAGACACAGTAAACAAGTGAACCTGCCATTGTTGTTCACAAAAAAGAAAAGCTCCACACAAAACAAGAATCAGATTTTAAAAGTAAGTAAAGGAAAATCTGAATGCTGAATAAAGTATCCTTAAATAAAATCTAACTTTGTTAATCTGCATGTTAGATTTGATTGGAACAAGCCCTCTTGATTAGTCTTAACCTGTGGTATGCTAGTTGTGAAACAGTGAGCTTTTACTTGACACCTCATACAGGTAAAACAGGAATGTGCTGGCGGGGGCAGAGAGCTAGAGGAAATTGGGTTACACAGGGCTACTTCAACACAACACAAACTATAAGAACTCAGCATTTGGCTCAGGAGAATTCAGAGGAACTGCTCGTTCAATGCACTTCGTTAAGTATTTGTAATAATCTAAAGGAAAACTCTTTTCAACAATATCGTAATTAACCAGAATTTAGAATTGTTCTCTTGATGCTACTGCAGCTATCTTCTGTGCAGTTTCAATATGTTCCATAGTCCTACAATTCAGAAGTCTTCCTATGTTGTATTGCTTTGGGGCTAATTATATTAGCCTTTACACATTTTAATTGACAGTTGCATCAACAGACATTATGGTTCATGAAGTTTAATTTTTTTTAACCAAAGGATTAGTTCTAGATTTGTGCACCGCTTCTGGCCTTTGCAACAAATTACAAAGACAATCCTCTAGATTTTATTTCCTTTTTGTCAGAACCAGCCAAACTAGTTCTTTCTTTTGCTGAGGGCGGAAAAGGCTGCCTGCTGCAACACTGTGACCTCGGGGAGACGAGCTAGACAACAATAATTCCAAGACATAAAGAGGAGAAGTAGGCTAAAGCATTAGAACATCCTGGGAATAAAGGACTTGATATATGAGAGATAATTGGGGAAAATGGCAATTATTTTATATTATGTGGTGAAAGAACATTAAAACAAAGCTCTGCAAATGTCAAGCAGTATGTCCCATTTTCCATAGGCCAAAATGTGAAATAGAAGAGTTAAACACAATTATTGTATACGTATAAAAGGCATTTAATTATTGAATGCACTCGAAATGGAATAAACAAGCATGGAGATTTTTATTTTGTTAAAAACAGTGAATAAAAAAACTGCGGCGAAATGCCACAAATGGTTAAAAAACCTGAGAGTAACATTGATAAAAAAAAATATGTACATCAAAGTATGGCTTAACAATGCAGTTTTCAGGACAACACATGCTTTCAAAGAGACTTAAATGGCAGTAGTGGATAAGCCCCAAACATATATACAGTTCACGCACAATGGCTTGCATACACAATCACAGACAAGAATGAGGACGGTTACATTCTACCATCGGTCTCTATCCTCTGGCCTGAAGGAGTGTTGTCATGTTTCATTTTCTCAAAACAACTTTAAACACTGCATACATAAAAAAAAAAAAACCTGCATTGTCTTTTGCTTTGTACAAAAATAATTGTTTCCTCAGTGGGTCACTTGATGGAGAGATAAAAGGTGCATGAAATTAAATGACACTCCAATAGCATAACATTAACCACTAAAAGCAGAAGTACCACCGCCCAGGGTAAAAGGTGCTTCACTTAGTAACAGCAGCAAACAAATATAGCAAAGGGATAACATTGTCCATTTAGTCGGCTACATTGCTTGTCAGGAAAGGTACTTTTTTTGTCTGTGTGCCCCTTCAGAGAATAAGAGGAGCGCCTGAAGAGTCTATTTCGGTGTCATGATGGTAGGCCGAGTAGGCTGTGGCCGTGCTGGAGGAGTACGCTTTAAAAGAAAGACTTTAGATTAGCTCAATGAAAATCAAAGAATAGCAGTCATAGAAATATAAACAACACTGTAGATATCATGCACAACTGCGACACACAAGAGTTTAACCTGGGACGACAACACATTCTCAGCCCATGATGTGAAAGTTTAGGAAACACAATTCAAAGACGTGTAATGGGACACCCCTGGTTTTTAACCGCCTCTCCACTGAACAACAAAAAAGAGAAGAGGCTGCTGCACAGTAATCCATCCGTACCTAAAGTTGTAGGCCAAAATGACGTAGTAAACCATGGGACATTATGAGGCGTATATTTAATGTGACTCGATCTGCTGCTGTGGAAGGTGGTGTAGCATGACCGCTGAGCTGCAGGGGAGAATGAGGCAGGTTGATAGGTAGGTGTAAGGTGGTGGATGAAGTGGGACTGGGGGGGGGGCAGCTAATGAGCGAGGGATTGTAATATGCAGAGAAGAGGACAGGAATGTGGGAGTTTCACTGCTTAAAGAATGGCATGTTACAGGAAAGTAGAGAGAAGGTGAGAGAATGCTTGCAGCTGCAGCCGGTACAATGGAATCCAAAGACCTGCGCTCCACACACTGCTTCACCGAGGGAGTAATTATAGCTCAACAGCAGGGACAAATGGGACTGCATCTCCGTCATCACAATGCATTCAATTAATAGGAACATTTGCAATATCTCTAACTGCTAACCGAATGCTTGTACACTTTACATGTATGGTGACAATTCAATAAGATAATGTATTGCTTTTCGATGGCAATATATAGCAAAGATATTAAATATTGTGATGCATAAATTGATAATAAGAACATACCACCTCACATTTCTCAGAAAGTAAGATCAAACTCAGTCAGTTAGTCAAACCACTGACTTAATCTGAAAACATTGTATTTATGTGCATGCTTGTAAATCAGTAGATAGCTGAATATATTATTTCTTTTTTTACAATTTCAATATTATTGTCATTTTGATCATATAAAAAACAACTCTGTACTTCTCATATGCCATTTAATTTACACAGAATTAAACATAACTACGCTTTGCCCTTTATTTATATAATGTATTAACACGAAACAGGCTATATTAGGATATCAATTCATATATTTATTGACATAAAATGGCCTATATTGGGATAGAAGCTTTTGGCCATATTGCCAGGCTTAACTGCACCCCAGTTATAAAATATGTACTCACTTCTCCCGCTGTAATGTCTCATTTTCCTCGCCAGCTCATCCGATGGAGTCTGCTCTGACACTTTGACCTCTGGAAAAAAAGCTGGGGAGGAAAGACAAAGTGAGCGCAAGCAGACATTAATGAACACTCATTTAAGAATAAATCCGGTCAACTTGGCTATTGTGCAACACGTTTTCCAAGACAAGCGTAACCTGTATCAACTTGCCTCATGAACCAATTACTGCTAGGTCACTGCCTGTTGTATTAGGGCTTTAAAAAAAACTATAAGCCAAACAAAAGCAGCGCTCCAACAGACACTATGAGTCATTTAGGGAAGACGGATCAGATTATTGGCATATTTAGACAGAAAAAATGGTCATGTTGTATATTTTATATATTCATACATAAGTAATTCATCATTTTAAACGCTTTAAAGGCATTCTTACAGTCACTGCTAACTAAAGTGTTGGTCATGGTCTCGTTTCCGCTGTCGGGGAGGGTCCCGTCGTTCCTCCCGTTGGGACGCTGCCCTGTCGACTGATGGCTCTTGTTCCTCTTGCCCTTTCGGGTGCTGATGCGGATGACCCCGTGCACCAGCTTGCACTCGGCCTCCTGCTCCTCCAGGTTGTAGTCCTGAGCGATGCTGTAGATGAGCTCGCTGATCTCGTTGGTCTTGCGGGAGAAAGAGGAGTCAGAGGTGCACTTGGCCAGCTGGTCAATCTGGTGCAGGGCGTAGAGCTCCAGCAGCTTCTTGGTGATCAGAGAGTCAATGTCTGTGCCTGTGTCGCTCAGGTCATCCAGGTCATAGTCGTCACGGGACAACAGGCTGGTGTTGCTGACAGGCCGCTGTGTCTCCCCCCTGCCGGGCGTACGGGTTCGTTTGGGGGCAGCAACTGGATACCTGACCGTCTGACCTGCGATGCGCACATCCGGGTAGCGGAAGCTGTCACTCGTGGGCAATTTAGAGGCTTTGGTAGACTTGCTGGGCTCCAAAGGGATCCCGCAGGTGGGGTTGGTCACCGCCATGCCATTAGGAGGGTGAGGCTCACTGCCTGCTTTAGCGGGGTGGTCTGTGGAGCTCTCATTTACAGGCAGGCAGGGCTCTCTGCTGCCATAAAACCCACAGGTCAGTATACAGCAGATAAGAGCCTTACAGCCACTCCAGCCCATGGAGGCACACGAGCCACAGGCATGTCTGCTGGCAGGGGTGCTGTCCGCCGAACCAGGGATAAATCCGATCGTCTCTGAGCCCCGAGCGGTGCCATTTCGTGGGTGGCTTTTGCTCGGACCATACTTGTTGTCTGAATGCCGGGAGTGGTCAGCGTGGTGCTCATGTTTATGCTCCACATGAGGGTCCTTGCAGGAGTCCTGGCTGGTCGTGCTGTCCCTGGATATAGTCCGGGTCTGTCGGCACTTCGAGTTGGAGCTGTAGTGTTTGTGCTGGCGGGACGCCTGGGGAGCCCCTGAGCTGTGGCCAGGCATGGCTCAGAATACCTGGGACCTGGTGTGGGAGAGGCATGTTTAGAAATAATAACCAGGTGTTAACCTACCCTTGTTGTTGCCACACAGGCTTGCAGAATTAAACGCACCATGACACATAAAAAGTAGCCCGCGTTATGTGGTAAACACAGTACAGAAGGCTCCCAGGAAATTCTGACAATGTAAATAAAACTTACTGCATTGATTGCTAGCGTGATAATAATTTGGGTCATTTCGTTGCACTCTAAAAAGCTTGTTGCGTTCAGACCAAAACTCACTCAACATTTAAGCATTTTTAAGGTGTTTACAAAACGTTCACTTACCGCATAAGAAGAAACACTTGTGGTTGTCGTTTACCCGAAACAACTTGTTCAGCGAGGAAACCGCGGAAGTCTCAGGGAGAAAAACTTCTGCTCACGCTTCACAACGAGAAAGAAAGACGGGTTTCCACCGCCCACAGATTTTCAGGTAACTTTACCTCCACGAAACAACAAGCTTTGCAAACTTAACGTCGGATGCCTCGACCGAAAAACACAACTCGGCTCATTCGCGTCGTGTCCTCTTTCTTGTAAAACTCAGTCTTGTGTAAATCTTGTGTTGCCGTGAGTCTCCCAATGTTTGGCTATTACCTGCGGCTAGAGCTAATCCCAGATCCTTCACCCACCCACAGGTGAGTCGTGACGTCACGCGAGGCGGATATAAAGCACAGAAGAAAGAAAGAGGAAAAAACTAATTTAGTCACTATTTGTTTTTGTTATGGCATGTTTTGACTTTCTTTACTTTAGTCTTTTTATGTTTTATCCCTTCATTAGGTTTTATAAACATATGCTTATTTCCAAGTTTAAATTTCTGTTTATTTGTGTTATTGTATTGTTAACTAACTTGATATAAAAAACGAATAAAATGTAAAAAGAAGAAGGAAACAAGAGGGAAAGACACTAAGGACAGCAAAGAGAATAGCTAAAAGCAAATTGCTGCAAATCTGATCACAATTGAGAAATCTTTGATCAGATTGTAATCTGTAACAATGTGAAGCAACATCAACTAATGGTGAAACTCTACGCTTTACATTACATGTCACTTGTTAGACGCTTTATCCAAAGCGACTTACATACTCGATACTGTGGGCAATCCCCACAGGAGCAATTTGGGGTGAGGTCTTGCCCAGGGGGCTTTATATTGTGACATGTAGAAAGAGGTTGGAAGTAACTAAGTATTTACTCAAGTACTGTACTTAAGTACAATGTTGAGCCTCAAAAATGACATTTCCAGAACAAATGACCATAACTACACTTCTAAAAGGGATGATGGGTTAGTAAACTAAAAGGAATCCAAAGTACAACATATAATAAGTACCCTGTAACAAGATTTATACAAAGCAAGTGACATTTGACCTTTTTTAGAGAGGTTTAGAAATAAAAACTCCACGGTTGCGTTCGGATAGTTTAAAAATCAGCTAAGTTCTAACCTTACCCTATCTCCTATTCCTTGACCTCTGAGTGAAACGTCACGGGGTTAAGGGATAGTGGATAGGAGAATTCAAAAGGACTTAGGAGAAGAGACTGCGGTACTTTAGAGAATCCGAATGCACTTTCACTATCCGACGTGTTTATGATGCGCCAGCGGACGTCATTGTGTGCGTCTGCTGCTGTGGGGAAACTATGGAAACTACAGTTTTCTATACAACGGACTACAACATGGATGTTTAATAAGAACGACGGACTCATCTAGAGACTCTGCACCGTGCTCTGATGCTCTTGCTTTATGCTTTATGAACAACAGAGAAATTATTCTTCATGACCAAAATTGGAATTGAAATAAAAAATGAAAGTGAAACTTATGCTTGTCACCCTCTCCCTCCGGTCCACATTAATAGAAATGATCCCAATTGTATGAACTATGAAAATATCTTAAAATCAATACAAATGTATTTATTATAAACGTTAGTCTTTAACACCTATCACTGTGTATATCCAGTGATGCAAACACAGGTATGG